CGTAACTTACCTTAATCGCACAAGTTTCATAATTAAGCAAGCTTCGGTCAGCAGATGTGGCCACACAATTTAAAAATAACTGTACAGAATGACCAGCTGTGGCTCAAAGAGATCCATAATGAGAAATACGCACAAAATACTGGACAACACTTCGTGCAACTATAGTTGCTCTCATTTACGACTATCGTGCAGGGGTCTCGAGCGTGTTGTGGATGTTTAGCCTGCGGCCCACAGCATCATCACACAGCATCACCTTTCAGACATTCTGGAGATCAGTATTGATATGTATCTCAAATACCGATGCCACATTCTATTCAGAAATTATCCGCATATCAGATATGAAAAATTTGTCCTTTCCAGCAATGTTAGGTGAAGTTTTCTCTAAGTCCCCTTTCTCTTCAACCGTTTTGACTGCCCCGGCCCCTTTAAGACAAGATTTCCTGACTGAGGCCTGCTAGCAGAGCTGAGTTTGAGAGCCCTGCTATAGTGTGTACAGTAACCCGCAGTGTTTGTAGATGCCACTGAATTCATCACTAGGACTGCACTATTTTACTGGGTGCAAATAACTGCCTCCAATGCTCATACATAAAGCGGCCATCAGCCGATTACTACTAAAGCAGCTGGAGCTTGGTGTGGGTGAGTTCATGTAAATAATGAATAAGCTGCAAAAAAAATAAACACAAGAGCAAAAAGTTAACAACAGACCAGCGCAATCTGTTGTAAGTGCTTCCTTCAGGTTATGCTTTTTGCTCATCGTATTGACCAAGCAATTACTACTACATTTCAAAGCTCGGATGATGCAACATTATCCTTCATTCCACACATCAGGTGCAATGCTATGGAGGTTAGAGTGCCTTTTTACAGTAGATGCATCCACAGCGAGAAATTGTCTAATGCTTTTACCACCCATATGATTCCTTTATGCCTTTAGGCCCAGTAACAAACGAAGATCCTTTGTACCTCAGATACAAGTAAATCCAATTATATGGCTATCAATAAATGCTCTAAACTGCCTAGCAGCTCCTTTGTCTCAATTTTCCGGTATTGCGATTGCCGCCCGCCACGGTACATCCCATGCTGGCTCGTGCTTGGCTCATACGGGCGTCTACAACGACGAAAGCCGAGCACGAGACACACACACAATTTGCTTGCCAAACTTCACACACAGCTTATGCACTATTGCACCTGACGTATGAAACATAGTATAGAGGGGCTCACAAACATCATATAAGGTTATCGCAGAATGGCTCTGCTGGTGGACTATACCACCTCATGAACATCTCAATGCAATTTTTTTTCATCAGTGAAGTTTAAGCAATGCTAACACACAACGTCCACCAATACAGTAAAAACGGCATGCGCAATTTTTCGAGATAGCCACGCTATGTCGTGACAAATCTGGTTTCTAAAGAAAACGATGGCTGTGACCTATGCGTCTGAGTCAGAATTACTCTAACATGACCTAAAAATGCAAGTACTATGTGCACTACTTAGCCAGTAATTGTCCTGTTTACATCTGTGAGTACTGTACACTGGATAGTACCTGGGAGAAAATGGCAATATCATCATCATCATCATCATCATCATCATCATCAGCCTGACTACGTCCACTGCAGGACAAAGGCCTCTCCCATGTTCCGCCAGTTAACCCGGTCCTGTGCTTGCTGCTGCCAATTTATACCCTCAAACTTCTTAATCTCATCTGCCCACCTAACCTTCTGTCTCCCCTTAACCCGCTTGCCTTCTTTGGAAATCCAGTTAGTTACCCTTAACGACCAGCGGTTATCCTGTCTACGTGCTACATGCCCGGCCCATGTCCATTTCTTCTTCTTTATTTCAGCTATAATATCCTTAACCCCCATTTGTTCCTTAATCCACTCGGCTCTCTTCTTGTCTCTTAAGGTTACACCTACCATTTTTCTTTCCATTGCTCGCTGCGTCGTCCTCAATTTAAGCTGAACCCTCTTTGTAAGTCTCCAGGTTTCTGCTCCGTAGCTAAGTACCGGCAAGATACAGCTGTTATATACCTTCCTCTTGAGGGATAGTGGCAATCTACCTGTCATGATTTGAGAGTGCTTGCCAAATATGCTCCACCCCATTCTTATTCTTCTAGTTATTTCAGTCTCGTGGTTAAGCTCCGCGGTTATTACCTGCCCTAAGTAGACATAGTTTTTTACAAATTGAAGTGCACTATTACCTATCTCAAAGCGCTGCTCGTTTCCGAGGTTGTTGTACATTACTTTCGTTTTCTGCAGATTAATTTTAAAACCCACTTTTCTGCTCTCCTTGTCTAACTTCGTAATCATGAGTTGCAATTCGTCCCCTGAGTTACTCAGCAATGAAATGTCATCGGCGAAGCGCAGGTTACTAAGGTACTCTCCATTAACTCTTATCCATAACTGTTCCCGTTCTAGGCTTCCGAAAACGTCCTGTAAGCATGCAGTAAATAGCATTGGGGAGATTGTGTCCCCCTGCCTTACACCCTTCTTGATTGGTGTTCTGTTGCTTTCTTTACGAAGCACTATATTGTAGCAGTTGATCCTCTGTAGATTTCTTCCAGGATGTTTATATATACTTCATCGATGCCCTGATTCCGCAGTGTCTGCATGACTGCAGATATTTCTACTGAATCAAACGCCTTCTCGTAATCTATGAAGGCCATGTATAGTGGTTGGCTATATTCTGAGCATTTCTCTATTACCTGATTGATAGTATGAATGTGGTCGATTGTTAGGTAGCCTGTTCGAAATCCTACTTGTTCCTTTGGTTGATTGAATTCTAATGTTTTCTTAACTCTGATAGCAATTACCTTTGTAAATAGCTTGTACACTACAAAGAGCAAGCTTATCAGCCTGTAATTCTTCAAGTCGTTGTCATCGCCTTTCTTATGTATTAAGATGATGTTAGCGTTCTTCCAAGACTCTGGTACTCTTCCCGTCAGGAGACACCTCGTAAACAGGGTGGCTAGTTTTTCTAACACAATCTGTCATCCATCTTTCAGTAGATCTAATGTTACCTGATCCTCACCAACAGCTTTGCCTCTTTGCATGCTCTCCAAAGCTTTTCTGACTTCTTCTATCATTACTGGTGGGGTGTCATCTGGGTTACTGCTAGTTCTTATAGTATTAAGGTCGTGGTTGTCCCTGCTAGTGTACAGATCTCTGTAAAACTCCTCCGCTATTTTAACTATCCTATCCATATTGGTAGTTATTTTACTTTCTTTGTCCCTTAGTGCATACATCCGATTGGCAATATAGACCACCCTAAAGTTACATTTACAGTTATAGTTACTGTACATTATAGCCTAGAACGTTTTCTCTTTTTTTTCTTTTACCCTATTGGCTACTAACTTCTTGTTTTAGGCGTTCATGATGTTGGCATATGGTGACACACATAATCTACATGATACCGTGTGTTTCCATACCCTAAAGAGTGCACCAGTGGCATTTCCAGTTGCCGTTACATGCAGGAGAGGTGCACGACCCGGGAAGAAATGTCATGAATAAAGTCATACCACAGCAAAAATTTGAATGAGAGGGAAACGTTCTGCCTGGCACTGCATTAATTTCACTGTTTTACCATGTAGTGGTTGGCCCCTGTTGTTGGGAGGCCGGCAACCTATGCCGTACTACTTTGCGGTTTTTACTATTTTGCTGGAATCCCTATTGCCAGAACCAGAGTTCACAGCGATGTCCCACTCTACCAATTGCATCACATGACATTTCTGCTCGGGTCATAAGACTCTCCTGCTAGGGACGGTGAGCCGAAATTTCACCGATGTGCTCTTTAAGAAAATGCGCCAATGAGGCACGTGACCCGAAAGATAGTCCACCGGTGCGCCATTCATGAGACCAGCCAATGCCTGTAAGCACAATCGCTATGATTTGGCTGCACAGTTGCAAACAACACTGCCAGAAAGAAAGCAAGTTATTCTTAAAAGTTTTGAACACAAGATGGCAAGTTCCCCAATGCATAAAATGTGACACTATACTTATGTTCGTGGGAGCTCGACTACAGATCAACAAAGTTTTTTTACTATGTTCAAAACATACTGCTGTTCCCTTTTAAGCTCTGCCAATAAGAGTAACACCACTCTATGTACAGGCCTGGAGATGTTCATCCAGATTTGTATTGTGCCCCAAAATATTGTCCAGGGGCATTACAGATATCTAAATGTCATGAAAAATAACATTTTCTTCAATAAGTGACTGTTTAAGGCCTACTGTAGGCTAGAAAAAAAAAACACCAGAACCAAAGAAAACAAAAAGGCCAAAAGACGTGCAGAGTGGCATGGAACATCCATATAAGCATGCATATTATACCAAAATCGTTAATGTCTCCACAGCACCAAAAACTCAAGGATGTTAGTGAACTGCAAGCCACACAAATGGGCATTATCAGTGATTGTAACTGCAACCAATAATATCACATTAATGTGGCCAGAAAACAAACTGTAGGGAAATCAGATTTGACCCAATCCAACAAACAGACCATGCCACAGGCTAGCATCAACTACGCCCGACTGTAGATGGGGAAAAAAAAGCTCTATCTCTAGAAAATCACATTAGTTGGGATTTTATTGGCAACTGGACTACGATAATGATAGTAGAAGAAAGCATCTGCACAAAACGTGTAAATGTAGTCAAGCATAATTGCCTGAAACCAGGACACTTCTATGTAGCGCTCGGTTAAACCTCCAGTCAGGGGCGGCGCCAGCAGAAAACATGGAGGAGGGAGGGAGCAGTCCTCCTCTTCAAACTGCTGAACCAAAGACAGTCAACAATTAAGTGCAACTTTTATGCCTTCCCTTCCTCCCTTTACCCGAAGAGACTCTATTGTCCTGATAACCTGAGCCTAACCCCCAGGTGAAAATATTCTGACGCCACCCCTGCGACCCTGCCTTGCCTAAACGGCAAAAAAAGTGTAAAAGGTATGTCTATAACGCAAGTATAAAAGTCAGCCAAGCCAAACGCAGATTTTTTTTTTAAAGAGTTGTTTACCTTTGGCAGCCAATTTTCTGCCCCAGACACCTGATATCGGGGACCCAATTTTCCAGCTCCTTTGTCCTCCTGAACAACACCAATAAGTAGGAAATCTGTTACTACCTTGTTATCACTTCATCAAGTGCGAAAGAGAAAGCTCCAGCAAAAACAGAAAATACTCCTGGGTTAGTAGTGACAAGAGAAGAAAGCTTGCAAAAGGAGAGCATGGTAAACAAGGCACACACACACACCCAGGAAAATTTGACCACCGCATGCAAAGGCATAAGAATCGACCATCATATACAGCTGCATCACACCAGGGCAGACCGTGACGCTGCAAAATAAGTGTGTGCTACAGTGAAAACGGAAAGATGCTGTGACGACAAAATAAAAAGTAACCATTGAGAAAGGAAACTGTAAGAAAAAATATCTTTATTCTTGTTTACTTATTTTGAGCAACAGGTATACAACGGACACATTTTAAAAAAGCTGCATCATTCACTCACAAACCAGAAAAAGTGAGAGTGCCAATCCAAAAAAGTCTCACAACATGTGCCACACTAGTTTTGAAACAAAGACACGGCTGCAACCACTCCGACATGAAAAATCACCAACTAGTCCAGACACAAGCCATTCTAATTCTAACTTTATTATTAGCCGAGTAATCAATAACCTTTACTAGCAACCACCACCTTTGCATTCAACACAATGAAGGCACAGGGAAAATAATACATATTCAAGGTACAACATGATAGCAGATGCCGACATAAAAAGTAACGCGAGAAAACATTAAAAAATGAAGTTTATAGCTCGTCTTCTCATAAACTGATCCTTAAATACAAAGTAACAATGTATGGGCATGTAATTTGCTTTACCCTTAGTATAAAAGGCCTCCCGCTTTGCCAAGAACACATAATAAAGTACAATGAATCCTCGGAAAAATAGCCTATCTTTTAAGTTTAAATGTGAATCTAAATAGTATATATATCTCTATTTCAGATTCTATAGCTATTGAAGGTATAAAACTGTGCTTTGTACAAGATGATGAACACATTCTCAAAAGATGACTCTCATACAAAGACTGCATTTTAAATAAAAGTAAATCACGTTATTAAGAAGACAGTGTGCAAAAGCAGCAAACCACCCCTGCCATTTTAGCCCTTTCTCGATGTCAACTGAAGAGTAAAAAAAGACTATGCATTGCCTTAAATAAGCAGCTATAACATAACACACAACCCATTGAAAGCCACAGGAACAAATTAATGCCGTAAGAGTAAAAGATAATCTTAGAAATGGTGAAAGAAAGTGCTCACGATTAGGGGCAGGTCACAACACTAATTTATGTATACAAAGCTCAGAATCTCACAAATGAAGATTAACCATAAACTTTTAGCCCCACCAGCGCACAAGTTGCCATGTACTTCTTCATAGTGAAAGCATAAAAAGTATAAAAATTTCTCAATGATTTTTCCAGAAATATGGCATGCCAGCAGTCATCTTTTCAAAGATAGGCATTCAAGCATCTTGTGATAAAGAAAAAGCTATTCCAATGCCGCTAACACTAACATCTTGAATAAAACTTCAATCATAAGCTGGCTGATGGATACACTCAAAATATATGGCAAGGTATTTTTGCACATGAAAACTAGGCCCATTATCAGATTAAATTCCAGATTCCAGTAAAGACTATATTTGTTATTGGAAGAAAAAGTGTTTTAAAAGAATGTGTTACCTCTCAAGTAATTTGCACTCAATACTGCACTGTTCTTCGGAGCTTACCTATCAAAATTGCTGTCAGTGTAAATCGTAAGACTATGGTATGTGAAATGATTAATGCTATAACAGCCACTAAACACAATCCTGCCTTTAAAGCTGCCACTGAAGCTCTCAAGATAACATAGCAGTTCCAACAGTCTGCAATCAATAAACACACCATGTATTTCTTACAAATTTTGGCGCTAATTTTACATATGATGTAGAATAGAAATGTCTAACACAAGACAACGCACTTTTGTAGCATGTGAACATACAAAAACAAACAAAAAAGACTGTGATAAGAGTGGTAATAATTCTCAAATTTACTAACATAAGAATACTGTAAAAACACATCCTCCATGAAATATCTAAATCTTAAATGAATACATTATAAACAAGTGTATCTTTAAAATAAATAGTGTGAAGTGAGAACACACATCTTTCACCCTTCAAAAGGAAGAAAAACCAGCTAAAAATTCGATGCATGCAGCACCTAAAGCATTAATGCCGACTTTTTAAAAATTGACTCGACTTATACTTGTCAGGCAGTGTCAAGAATTTTACTTTATAAATTTACTATTATTCTAGGGTGACTCAATACAAGATTTTACATTTTGAACTGGTCTGCCTTTGCAACACAAACGACTACATACCAGCAAAGTATTAAGAGACAAAAATATTACTTAGAAGATTGAAAACAAGCATTACACACCAGCTAACTCAGATTTATTTGATAAATGATATATGTAGTCATGCATCAGCATGTTTATAGCAGATGAACTGAGGCTGCTAGAATAAATCATAAAAGTATAAGTGCAAACAGACAGCATCGCACCATTTACTGTGAGGCAATGTTTCCAGTCACCTCTATGTGGCTTTTTGTGGTATACTTTTCAAGCAGTTACAAACACTTTTTCTATGCCTTTTATGATGAAGTCGAGGCATGTCCAACACAAAGCTTTATCAGTCATATAAAAAATTCTGTAAGATATGGGTGGTTGGCTTTGCAGTGTAAACAATAATAAGTTTACCCTTGTAAAAAGTTCCAAAAAATCACAACACAGTGAGCAACAATGAAGAGTACTACAATATGCTTAAAAGCAATAACATGAGTGTCCTCAACTATAGCTTGCTGCACAAAAACGTTGCACAGCTTTTTGTTGTTACTACCAATCCTTGCTTTTTTTTTTTCTTCTTCCAGTTTACCTTTATTCACTCAAAATATCAAATTATGCTTCAAAGTGGATAAACAGAAACTTCCGTCTCAGACAGCAATTGGGTTTCATTTATTTCAAGCACACACGGCCAAACAAAATATGCAGCTGTCCATCAAGAACTGGCATTTAATTAGCTAGCTCCGCTGTATAACTACCTCATACTGATTTCATCCAAGTGCTGGATGCTCCAATCATCAAACAGGCTGTATGCACAAATGGGCTATTTAATTAATCTGCGATGCAGACTGGGACATGCTGATGGGCATAATGTTCAAGCATGACCTATCTTTCTCAGGAGGCAGCTATAACGAGTGCTGCCCGGTTAGGGCAGTTGTGACAGTGTCCGTTGTACAAGGTAACCATGAACAGCACTGCTGAGAGAAATGCTGTGTATGCAGGGGGTGCAATCACATTCCCAAAATGCCTCACTGAATAATTTCTAACAATGGTGTTCAGCAAATAAGTATTATTTTAAGCAGTTAAAACCCTGAAAGCATTGTAAAAGCTTGCCAGTTTAAAGGGGTTAACAAATATTTTGGAATAAAAAAACTAACGTTTCTTTCCCGACAGAGTAATATAAATAGTGCACACTTTGCTGTAACTGCAGTGCTAGGAATTAAGAGATACTTCGCAAATAAGAAAAGTGCTAGTAACACTGCCAATTTTTCAGCAAGTGCTTGGAATGCAAGCCATTGTGTGTCAGAAGCGTAGGATGCAGCTGGTGCAACAATATTTTGCAGCCACAAACCCAGCACCATTAAAGCGCTTAACTTGGGCTGAGTCATCTGCACCTATCTAAATTCACAAGGGGAAAAAAATGGAGAGGCATAATAGTAGTGACAAAAGCCACAAATGCTGCTGGCAGCCTGAACTACCACCCATTTTACACATATGCTGTATTTCATACAAAGACACGAGTGCATATGAAAGAACAGCAAAGAGTAAGTGGAAAAATGTGAAGTATCATTGCTTCTTTCCCATGGCACCAATGTTCCTTTGCTCTATGCTGTCTCCCCTTATCAAGGGTGTCCAGACTGTGGTAGGGTATGAACAACCAGTAGAGAGAACATGCTGGAAGTGGCCAAAGCTTGCAGTACTCAAGAAACACAGGCAAAATAAAAGGCCATAAGGAACCAACTGAGAAGCAGCTACAATGAAATATGAGTATCCCGCTCACTTCACGCTTCGCATCTGCTTGCCTAAGCCACACGTAAGTTTCAAAGGCATCACAAGCTCCAGTGCACACTATGTTGCATAGCCAACCATAGCATTTGAACACGCTATAGCAGCTCGCATGAGTGCCTATGTTCAGTACTTGTGCATCACACGCCTCCTTTCCTAGAAGTTCTGCAAAGCTTATGCCTGTAGTGCCCTTTGAGAGACTAAGTTGAATCTCAAGTTCGGCATTAAGAAAGGTGACAAACGCTAGATAACCTGGGGCAAACATTTTTGAAGTCAATGAATGTATAACACAAGACCGTGCATAATTCAAGGCACTGACTGTGATGGCAGCAGACACGATCCAAGCTTCCTTTTGGGTGAAACAACCACAGCTGCGGCGGCCCTCAACAAAGCAATTTAATACGAGGTTACTATCAATGCTATAATCAGCAGACGTGCCGAATACATCTTGACCAGTGAATGTATGCACCTTGTTTTCTTCATCCAAATCCTTGTTCGAAGTCTATTATAGTCGTAGACAACTTTCTGTGACTTCAACAGGAAAGCCCGTAGGTGCAGCGCAAGCATGACAATGCTTACAAAGTCTAATCTCACTGCTTAGTTGACACATATAAGCTTTAGTTGGCGAAAAAAAATATGCACTTTTATGTTTTGTTAAATCAAAAGGTGTTTCACATAGCAAGCTGCTACACCTGAATAGGAATCAATGGGAAATGAACTCAGTACTAACACATGCACATTGCAAAAGCAGCCAGATAGAAAGGTGGGCAAGTCAGAAAGGATGCATGCTAATTGATCAGCGTAAAATAATGCAAGATGCACGAAACAAAAATATACAGGACAGGCCCATCATGCAAAACTTTACCCTGATAACTCTCCCTACACTGTCACACAAAGTAGTCTGTGCCATATGAAATCTATAGCTATCCTAATTATCCCTCACATAGCACTTCAATACACTGCCATCAGTGCTCGCGTCGCCAACCATCAGCAGCAGCGAGCACATGTTGTAAAGCTGCATGGCTGCCATCACGCTGTTGCAGATTTGGTGCTGCTAGCTGATACTCTTCCGGGTGATGTTGGTGGTCTTGCTGCTGTTGCTGCTGCTGCAGTGGATGATGCTGTCCTGCTTCCAGAAAAGCCCGCACTAGGTGGTCCCCATTCCGGGGATCAAAGTGGGAGATGGCATTGTGTGGCTCAAACCTGGCTACCGCCCCGCTATGTGGAATGTGCGGCCTGTGCAACTGAGCACCCCATTGTGGAGCACTCATCTGCTGAGGTCTCATCAGAGGTGGTGCCACCTGTTGACGAAGGTTGGAACCTCCAACCATTCGCTCTGACTGCGTAGGCGGCTGAGGGAGCCAAAGGGGGTAAGAAGGGTGGGGTGGTACACCATACACTTTGTTCAGAATTCATATGTACAGTGGCAACAATAGCCCCTGTCATCTGGCCTACCCCTCCCCCCCCCCCTCTACTATTCAAGTTACTCAAGATAACAGCACATGCCAGTTTAAGTGCCAGTGAAATAGTTCACAGGCTTCATTCATCACGAACACTGTAAAAAATGTGAGTACCACAATAAGGAGAGCCCATGAACAATTAAGGGGAAACACTGCTCTTTCTCATTTTGTTAAAAACTTTTACCAATTTTTATTGAAGTAGCCGAGATTATGTATATTTGTGCATTGGTATAAAACATGCAATTATTTTCCTAATACAATTTATATAGCTTTTAAAATGTCAATGCTTATGTGCATTTTGGGAGCAAGATTTTCCTCAAATGAAAGAGTTACTAAGTATAAATCAGCATATCAAAATTTTTTAGAATGGTAACCATATGCAATAAAAGAAAAGTATGTTCTAAATTAATCTGATCAAAAGTTATCGGACGTTGAACATTTGTGAGTGATTCAATGTACTTTGCTGTAAACATGTTTCCTGCAACTCTTTCTTAATTAAATACACCAATAAATTCTCTGCTTATCTCCTTCAATGCTTCCCACACCTAGGTGCATCATAAACCAGCTACTCTTATTATAAATCATTGGACAATGGAATGCATCCGCCTAGACTTAGCATGATTCCCTGATGGTGTTGTTGCCTATTTTCAAGACGCACTGACGGTACAGGCTGAAGCAACCCTCGGCGTGGCACGACACCAAACTTTGAAAACCACAATATGGTACAAGCACCACTACCAAGACCTGGCACATACATATTGAAGTATTTCCCTTTCTTGCACAGCTCAAACTGATGCAACACCAGACAACACCAGTGGCACTGCTAAATGTGTGTACGGATAGTTTGTTTGCATGTTGACACTAAAGTGTGCAGCCTTCTGCTTCTGTAGCCATCACTGCCTTGCCACTGCTTATAAAGATGCAAGATTTTGAACATATTGCATGTACATAACTATCATTTTGTTATGTGTACAGAGGAAAAACCGATTTTCTCCTCTGTCTAGTTCTTCCATATCACAGTGCAGTGCTTGCAGTATACAACATGAAAACTTGACGATACAGAAACCAACTAATGTACCATAGAATGAGAACGCCACCACATTAAAAGGAACCCATACTGCAACATGCAAAAGTATATGGGCCCCTTCAGCAAATAACTCAGAAGTCTATCATCTATGCATTCTACTTCTACACAAAACAATTTTAACTGCTTTTAATTTTTTTTTAACTCCACACATTCTTGGGTTGTATATTTTAAATATCTAGACCAAGAAGTTTGATACAAGTGGTCAAAGCATAAACAAGCACAAATATTTACATCCCAAACACAAAGTATATCAACCAGCTGGAGATAAAACATACAAACGTTTCTTGCTGATGTTGGCATGTAATGCATATAATATTCTAACAAATACCTGACATTCTAACAAATACCTGACACAGATATCTTATGTTGGATGCAACTTTGTTATTAAATTAGATGTGACTGCACAGGTAAGAGCTTATTTTCTTTGGATTCTCATTGAGTTTGGTTAGCTTGTGCACCCATGCTTTAGAATATCTCACAAAGGGGGCAAGCATTACTTGGAATCAACATATTTGCTCAGCGCAAGAAAATGAGTAGTTATGGTGTAAATACAGAAGAAAGAGACATGCACAGAAAAGAGTTTTGTGCTCTTTCCTTAATCAATAGTTATGCCATAATTACTCGTTTCCTTGCACTGCGCAAATATGTTGATTCCAAATCACCAACTAGCCCAAGCATCCGTCTTATCAAGCATTACTATTCACACAGAGCTGTACACTTCAAGTGGCAGCAAAGTTATGAGAGTTTACCTTTGCATTGGCCTTTTGATCACTGCCGCCTTGCGTAAGCGAGGGTGCCGGGGCAGCAGCGTGTACAGGTCCATTACCAGCCGAGAAAGCGGGAGCGTTGTTGGCAATTTGCTTGTTGCCTACGCTTGCCACTGCGTGCTGAGATTGAACCACATTCTGCTGCTGCTGCTGCTGCTGCAGCCTTGCGTACAGCTGAGTAGTTTCAGCACGGCAGGTTTCAAGTTGTCTCTGAAAAAGCAGCACTCTATTCTAGTACATCTTGTGATACCGCAACAAGCAAGCTGGCACAGAAGCATGCTTGTGCGAAAAGTGATTTGGTTTGAATAATTGAAAATCAAATTTGAATATAGTACTATATTACATATTATAAAAATAAATGAGTATATTTGTCATGACCCAACTAACCACCAGAATGTATTTTTTTTTTAACTGACGCAAGACATGTGGTTCAAAGGAAGTGGAAGCAACTTTGAATAGTAGCAGGATTTACTTTCAATAGAATGCAAGCGATAACCTGAAAAATATACTACATTCTAAAATTTACTTTACTCAGATCATATAAGCCCACATAACAAGCTTTTAAACTTACCATGAGAAACGAAGGAAGAATAAATGTGAAAGATATTTGTTCATTCAACCTTGAAGTGAAGTTTCACGGTACAGCACTCTACTACTACAGCGAAACCACCTTTATAGAGAGGTCGCATGCGATTTAATATACCCCTATTCGCTTCTATTAATATTTGTTCAAATATTCAAAGTGTTCAAATATTCAAAGTGCTCAAATATTCACACAAGCCTAATGTTTACTATAACATATGCTTAACAAGTCACATTAATTACCCAATTCACACCAAACTGCTGCTACAGAAGCACAGAACATTCAAGCAAGCCTTATCTGTTTCTTCTGATAAGCAAGATGTATTTTACTTTATGATATCGCAACCAACTTGCCAGGTTTCATAATCGGTAATTGGATCCACACGAAATTGAGGTCCATCCATATGTGCATAACAGACGACATAACTAAACGTACGGAGTGTTATGGGCGGTGCATATGACAATACAGCACACATTTGAGACTACTAAGTAAATCACCAAACAGATTAACGTGCTCTAACGCTTAGATTTGAACACAGTGGGGCCTCCAGTACAGAAGCCTTATTTTCAAACCAACACATAATATGTGCATGCCTGAAAAAGTAGAACATCTCTAACAAATGACAAACGTACAATCCATCTGAACATTTCAGCAATGCTAATTGTTTCCTTCAAAACTTATTTTAGAGCAAAAATTGTTAACTAGTTCACAACAACAATAATTTTGGTGGCATTGTTGGCCGCCGCCGCCACCAGTGTCTGCAACAGGTATTGCACACAATGGAAAAAAAAGGAGGGGGGGGGGGGGGGGGTTGATTGATTTGTGGGGTTTAACGTCCCAAAACCACCATATGATTATGAGAGACGCCGTAGTGGAGAGCTCCGGAAATTTTGACCACCTGGGGTTCTTTAACGTGCACCCAAATCTGAGCACACGGGCCCCGACGTTTCCACCTCCATCGGAAATGCAGCCGCCGCAGCCGTGATTTGAATCCGCGACCTGCGGTCAGCAGCCGAGTACCTTAGCCACTAGACCACCGCGGCGGGGCGGGGGGGGGGGGGGGGGGGTCGAGCAGGATTTGAACATGGGCACTCAGTATGGCATTAAGGTATTCCGTACTCTACAAAATTATAATGATTTATGGCATGGTGGGCACCTCACAAATGTACTTGTAGTACTTTTCTCAACAACAGATTGTAGAAAGGCTCTGACTTTTGCTGTGACTGTGCTGTGTGTTCTGTGCAGGTCTGGTGTTTTTTGAGTGCACGAGCATGATGTGAGGTTTAGAACAAAGATATCCCAGTCAGACCTACCACACAAGACGTATGTAGTAGCCTAAAGACATCTAGCTATCTTTACAAGTATTGCACTTAATGCACTACCAAACCCAAGAACAGAATTGCAAAGAAACTTCTAGAAGGACCGTGCTGCTCTCATCATTGCTTTTTGCCACACTCTACAAATTAGCAAATTTCAGCAGCTCCTGTATAAGAAACATCCTGGCAGACCTAACATAGCCGTTTTTGTTTTGGCAACATTTATCTCCTGATGTTTTAGTGCAGATGTATCATTTTTTTTTATAAGAACAGTAATTTTGAGGTACTCGTTTGTCAGTTATGACATTGTACAAAAATTTATATTAACTAGTGCATAACAATTTTGTAACAGAATTTACCAGGGTCTTATACACATGCACTGTAATATGTTTCTCTTCTCAACAACTACACACTGTTTTGTTCTTGTAACCCAATTTCCTGATTTTGTAATCCTTTTTTTTTTACCTGTAGTGTGAACCATTTGTTGTCGTTATAATGTGAGTGCTTGTATAGACCTATCTCCCTAAGCGGTGACCTTCCTAGGGGCCCGTACAAGTATCTCCAAGATAAAAAAGAAAGCTTTCGTCTTAAATTTAGGTAACAGTAAGGAATGAGTGCAGGTCGCACATATTCAAGGCATTCTGCGTGCTGCTTCACCTGAAGCATCAGATCCAACTGTCCTTCAGTCTTCCTGGCCTGCAGTACCTCTTCCAATTGCCCTACAATCAGGACAAGCATGTTACTACTAGCTCAAACCATGGTGGAACATAATATAAAAACTTCCTTTCAAGCTACATGCGTGCTAGCCATAAATCCAACTACCACAAGAACAGTGTGAAAAAGACAAGGAAGTGCTTTTTTATGAAAGCCTCGCAGCTCAATTTTATCTGCTTTTTCATTTCAGCTACTGCCCCATTCAATGCTATCGCACAAAACTGAACTATTTATAATCCCACTGGGATAGACGGCAAAGAAGACTTAACTTCATCTTTTCTCTTCAGCTGATGACTCTTTCTTAGAGGGGCCCTGCAACACTTCATATAGCATGGCCAGATAACACTTGCTGATTAGTAGTCAGAGGCTCATGAGAAGACGCAGGCCATGCATTATAGTGCAGTATGCAGACTGGAATTTGCAATTCATTTGCAATTCATTTCCAATCCAGCTAGACATCGATCCCTCCTCTCTCAACCAATGATGCATACACCTAAATTACTGTGCCATATACTCAAAGTCCATGGCTGTTCGCTGATTTGAGCATGGTTATTTGCATCATTACCATGGAATGCAACCCCATGACTATGCGAGCGCAATTGCACTGAAAGCAGGCTGCAAATTCAAACACAAAAATTAAGAGGTACTCAAGGCCACGACGTGTGCTGATGACAACATGCATCTTCTTGCCCCCTTTTTATATTCCTCTCTGCATAGATTTTAGTGTGCTCGCTGGTACAAAAGATGAAGAAAGCACTTGAAGCATGCGACAAAGCCCTGTAACTCCACTCATACTTGACAGATTCTAAAACTTTTCGTGGCAGTGGATTCATGATGCGATAAGGTCTTTTGAGGAAGCAATTATGATTAGACAATTACTTTATAGAGTGTCACACGGCCCCTTTAACATCTACTTAAATTTTGAGGAAGAATATATGGCCCAAAGAGGTTAAAGTAATATTTGCTAAGTGAAAGAGGCACGCGCCCTCAGGTGAAGCTGACACCACCATCTTGCCATAGGCAGAATGCTGTGCCCTCCATCATAATTACCCACTCTTTGTGAGAATATAAGAATATCAATAAAGATAAGCTGACTAGATTTGAGATGTACGCGATACTCCGATTGGCGGTTGCTACAACAATTTGCACACATACACCGCTGGCAAAGTTCTTGCCTGCAACACCTACTTCGAATTGATTTGATTGATATGTGGGGTTTAACTGTCCCGAAACCACCATATGATTATGAGAGACACCGTAGTGAAGGGCTCCAGGAAATTTCGAACCACCTGAATTCTTTAACGTGCAAATGAATCTGAGCACATGGGCATGCAGCCTTTTCGCCTCCATCGAAAATGCAGCCGCCGCAGCTGGAATTCGATCCCGTGACATGCAGGTCAGCAGCCGAGTACCTTAGCGACAAGACCACCGCTGGCAGGGCGACACCTACTTCTAAAAGCTCAGTTCAAGAACAATAAAAAAATCATGCTTTCCAGCCAAAAGACACAGGGAATTTCCGTCACACATGGCTGATATTAAATTCTTTATTTTATCGAAAAGAATGGGCGAACTGGTACCTGAGGCTGCGAGAAGAAAGTGATCCAAGCTGCCCTGCAGTGTCGCTACCGTGTTGCAGTGAAGCATGTCCTCCTTTCTGCAGGCTACACATTTTAGCTGACCACTGAGACCACTTTTATTATTTTTATCAATTTATTTTTACGCCGACAGCAGCAGGACCCGCCATTTTCCCTTATTTTCGGCACAACTGAAACCAGGTAATGCTGGGAAACATAACCCTTTAGGCTGCAAACTTGGCGGCACAGCAGACGACCACCTCTAATTACTTTCAATAACTTAAAGTTTCCTGCATCCCAATTTTTGTATGTTTCCTTAATTTGAAAATCCACTTAATTCAAAAAATTTTCACAGCTGCAGTGATTAAACTGTACGAGGTTTTACTGAACTTCAAAAAATAAAAAAAAACCTTGGTGGTAACAGATGTGCAAGGCAATTGGTTCTAATAATGAGGTCATTCAATGATTACTTAGCGTAGCATTGACATTACCTAAGAGTATAAAAAGCTGCGACTCACTTGCTAACTTTGCCTTGGAGTCCCTCTCCTGCTGAAGTAGAGTGACATGGTTGGCCAACTCGTTGTCGACTTTCTCTTTCTCCTGATGAAGGGTGTCAAAGCTGGTCTTGAGATTTTGAACTCCTCTGCTTGGGAAGCCTTAGGTAAGGATTAAACAGCAAAACAGTTCTGAATACAGCTCCATAACAATTTTTCGTAACACAATTTCAATCATACCACTCATTTCGTGGCACAGCACAGCTCTGCACAGAAATTGAAGACCAGCACCGCCAGTGCATTAATTATAGAAGCTTGTCTACGATGTTTCAAGACAATTTCTCATATTGAAATCTCACTCTGCCTAAAAGCTTGCTTTTAACCAAAGGCCCATCATTACACACATTGGCACCACGCCATTGTCAACAAAGAGGTTATCAACCTGTAGCTGGAAAGAAAGTAAGAATGACATTATACTAAACTAAGTACACGCAAAGCACACAAACAGATTTGGTTAAGCAGTAAACGACACCCCACACCCCAAAAAAAGAGCTAGAGACAGCGCTTTCAATGGGCAAAAATTCACAGATATACTTTGCCTTGCACTCGGGCCACACGAGAACCACGATCTTCGAGGATGTTTCCGGGAGTTTCAAGAAACCTGCTAAAATAGTTTTACGCACTGTCCATTTGCAGTCTGTAAAGTTACCATACTTATTAGTGATAAAACTTGAGTGCTTTTGTAGAGCCTCACCCTATTACCTTCCTCTGCAGTAAATCCCAGAGCCTCACCCTATTACCTTCCTCTGCAGTAAATCCCAGTAAATACCAAAACTTGACGCAGAAAGTGGGGTGACAAAATGAAGATATGGTTGCGTGCTTCATGTGTTGCAATAGATGGATGTAGCAGTGATTCAAGGCTTTGCTCACGTAAGGCAACAACTGAATTGGCATCTGTCCACTTGAATAAAGATTAGAAAACCACAGTACACATTATACTACTAATGATAGGAGAATAAGTTTCACCAATCTGTTCAAGCAGAACGTTGCTTTGAGCTAGCTGGTATTGAGTCAGAATTGAGGAAAACTTCCTTAACCCTTTCGCGACTATTGGAGAGAATAGTCTTCATAAAATATTCTGACAAAATGATTGCTGACTAAATTCTTCATCAACGAAAATTGAACCCACACGGAACAAATTAAGACCATACTAGTCATGCATTTTTTGGGCGTGTTGATAAGCAGAACTTGATGACATATTGAGCGCTAACAGACAGGGACATGAGAGGGACGACAACACAATACGCTGCCACTCTGCTCCTACTTCCCGGAAGCGGCCACCCAACAGACGGGAAGTAGGAGCAGAGCGGCAGTAGTGCCTTGTCTGCACAAAACTGCTCGCAATCTGAAGAAAATAGCTAGTCGAGTGAACATCACAGAAGTGTTCTCAGCACTGCAAAAGCTTGGCAGGATAAGTCGCTTGACGGACCCGCTCCGCAGGCAAGCTGTCAGGTGTGCCAAGAACCATCGCGACCATTTTGTAGATTGTGTACAAGGGGTTGTTTAGGAGCTTGCACTGACATGTAGTAATATATGTATTTGTCAGACAGGTTGATGCCTTTGCGAACACAAGCTAAATGCTAAAAACGAGAATAATTACGGCCGTTTGTCAGTACGTTGCTTGGAATGCGGTTGTACATCTATGTACTAATCCTGCAGTGTACTGGCGAAACATAATGATAAAGACGTACGAGAGATAATTGAAGCCCATGCTATCTCTCGCAATTGTGACATGCGTGTGACTGCTCCGTCAGTGGACCTTTTGGATCGGAAGAGACCTTTTCTACTTGGCTAGTGGATAGACTGGTGCCGCCACTGTGCACGAATATATTAGGTTGGAGTTTCCTGAAAATAAAATTTGTTGAAGTTACCGCATTGTGTTGTCGTCTCTCTCACGTCCTTGTACGTTAGCGCTCAATATGTCGTCAACTATACTACTCATACTTGTTTCTTGACGCTGGATGGCCAGCTTCCAATGTTGGGACATTTGTATCTCTGCCTTAATTTTATTGCCGTGCATTGCTAAGTTGTCTTCTTCATAGCATTAGGTGAAATAAAGGAACCACACAGATTTAAAAGAATGGTGCCATTTCATTCATAGAAGAAAAGCTCTACACATTCAGTAAAAAAAAAAAAAAAACAGTAATCTTCGCACGCTTTTCTTGTATTTTTTTGGTGGTAAAACGACTAAATGAACAAGAACACAGAAACACAGGCAGGGCTAGCCCTTTTATTTGTGCTGCTGCCTCTCTCTACTCAGTTTAAGCCAAAAATAAAAAGATTTCTATCTCGTCATTAGATCAATTTTATCAGTGGTTTGAAGAAAAGGCGAGCATATGGCTAACCCTAAACAAGCCATATTTGGTTTGCTGAATCTCAAATTTCTGTGCGGGGTAGAACCAGGAAAGTTCGTGTATTAAGTGGCGTGTGCAAAGTGGCGTTCATCCCCACTTAAGTTCTCGTTTCGATGTGGCTGTTGAGAAGTTTTCAGGCATGGGCATGTGATAAGCCAGGACTTCATTAAGTAGAAAGTGCAGCATAAAATTGCTTTGTTAAAAAAACACAAATATCTGTAAATGAAAAAGATATCAAATTAATAAATTCATTAAGCTGATAATTGTTACATCACGGCTTGGTCGTATACTGATTTTTTATGTTCGCAAAAAGAATAACTCTAACAAAAAAATTTTCCTGATGAGCATCTATCGAGAGACAATTAGAAAAATTTCCAAGACTCCCAAACAATGAAACATCTTTTCTACCCAAAATATACAAGCAACTCAGTTTCCAATGCAGTAAATAAGCACAGATTTTTTTCTAACACATAAGAGACTTGTGCCAGCACAGCTGGGACATTGTATTATCCTACATTACAGCATCCTTTGCTCCCAAAAGTTCAATAATAATATGCAGTAGATAATTCTGATTACATCAAGGCAGCAGTCTACAGTGTCTTGCATCAGTGGATTTCGTCTTCTCATCAGAGTCCTAGGATTCCTCAACTTTTTTACTTCATACCTCCCAGTATGGTCGGTCCCCAAACTACCAAGTATTTGTTCTATGCATTACATGACCTGCCCAATTTAAATATTTAACAGTAATTGAAACATCAGATTCATTAGTGATCTGTACTTTATAGTGTGTATATTTGTCTCTTAATAGTACAGCTTCATATTGAATTTCACTACCTACAACCCTAAGTTTCAGCCCTACATGTAAAGGGAAAAAAAATTCATGATCCACCAGTACAATAACACATCATTAAAAGTCATAGCAGCATCAAAATCATACAAAGCGGCTTGGTATGTGGCTAAATCCAAGTTCGTCACACCGAAGTTTCATAGGTGGACAATTATGCACGTTTCACCCGATTCCCAACACAGTGCTAGCAGCGCGCGTGCGCACACACACACACACACACACACCCAGTACACCACTCACTCAAGCACCACACCGCAGACAAAGTCTGCCCAGACTTACTGCATTTTGCGTGTCATTGTGAGTAGAATTTTTTGAGGTAGCATTCTGAAGGAGAAAATTGAAGCCACACTTTTTATTGCCACCGCCCAAGTTCTCACACAACTCAATCACATATTTAACACCCTCAGCTTAAGCTAGCCAAAGCACAAGCGATGCGTTTTAGTGATAACACCAGATTTGCATTTTCCGACAAAGATGATCACATAGAGCTACAAAAAGCTGGGCAGAAATTCTCACCTGGGATTTGTGATATACATGCATAGATTTCTGAGATAATTGTATCATGCAAACATTTTGCAGCATACTTGTTGAACAGAGAGCTAGCTATTCAAGTAGATTATTTGTTGATTTACTTCCCCTTTCCACAGAGAATAGTTGCCATCCAGTAAGCACATAGAGGTATCCAAGACTGGGGCTACACATAAACCAATTCAAGTGGTGTAGAATGGATAGAGTAGTGGCTCTTGTGTTACATGTAACACAAAAATTTGAGTAGAACCAGCCTAACAAATCCTCGAGATGCCAGCAACGGGACACTACAGGACTACATCTCTTATGTCACTGAAGGTAAGTGTTAACATGCACATCTGTCTAAGGAGGGCCAACTGGCCTGGCAGGCAGCCCACCATTAATGCAGAGACAGCCATAGCCTACACACTAGGCTATGGCTGTCTGTGTATGTGTATTGTATTTGCAAATAGCAAATTTTAGGTTTGAAGCAAATTCGAAGGGAATAGTGATTTGGTCAAATAATTTTAAATTGAATTCAAACAGTATATATCACTTATAAAAAAAAATTGAGCATATTTTCCATCACCCAACTAAGCTGCCCAATATTTTTCTAGAATTGAAACAAGGCATGTGCAAATATAGGTAATTCTTTTTGGTTCAAGAGGAGTGGAAGAAACTTTGAATAGTAGCAGGATTTGACATTCAATAGAATGCAAGTGATAACCTATAAAATATGGTGTGTTCTAGAATCTACTGTACTTAGAGAAGATAAGCTGGTAATAGCAGGCTTTTAAACTTAAAAAGTGATGAATCAATGAGAGGGTATTATTGTGGTCTTTCAATACTTTTTCTGGTCATAAAACTCCTGCGTCACTCAATGAGAGAGCTTCATATATCGCTCACGCAATTTCCACGCTGCGGCGCTGGCATAGCTAGTAGGGGCTACACCAGCTACGCCTTCACCACAAAGTACCAGTCCTCCACCTTACTATTTAAAGGGAAAAAAAAGATAAATGTAGTTTTCGGTGCACTAAATATTACGACTTGTGGCGTTAGCCACCACCATATCTAATGGTTACAGCCATATCAATTCATCCATCCATCCAGGGGGACGAGAAAGCGGCTCGGCCGGCTGCTCTGCTGGCGGTCGTTAGCGGACTGTTGGCACGGAGTGGTAATGGTGGTCGTGCTGATCGCCCCCCTTTTTTGCTTTCCAGGGTCGCATCGTGTTGACAGCGATACCCAACACCTGCTGCATGACGGGCTATCACTCTGGATACAAGGGCACCGGCGAAAAAATTTCCCTGTTCTGTTTACGAGCCAACGCTGAACGATGCAACAAGTCGAAACGTGCGATCCGTGACAGGGCTGCCGGATTTTCGTTCGACTCAAAAGTACGCTCGCGTAGGTGAAAATCATTTCAACGCCAGTGACATTGCACACACGGACATTGTCATGTGGACATCGACACAGTGAACGGAGACATTGTTTCACTGCCCCGAGAATGACCGAAACTGGTGGAAGAAATCGTACCAAAGATTTTCGAAAGTTTGCCTTCTTACCTCTCCAAACCAAAACAGCGTTCGCGTGTAACGAAGGGCACACCTTTAAAAAGGTCGCGAGAGCTTTCTCCGGATTGTGATGCGACAGTCGCGAATGCAGACGTCTCCACTGCAGCCGACAAAGAAACCGATGGTAAATCTAGCACAAAGTCTGGTACCGTGGACAAAATAGCCTGTGCCAGTGTTTACATGAACATTGTTGAGAACATCCTGCTGGATGACCACACTTATTTGGTCAGTTTTGGCTGTGAAACACATTTTGTGAGCTCTACGGAAGAAGTGCACTTTTTTTATTAGGTGCCGTCTGCATTTTCTTACACGTGAGCAAAACCTCGGAAGGGGTTCGAGCGGCCGTGGCAACAAAAACTGTTTCGTGCTGACAAACATCGTTTATCCTGCCCGGCCAAAGGAGGGAGCAAACCAGGGTCATAAATTTTTTCTGCGATTTTCGTTGTGCCGTCCGCTTCATCTCCCCACTTTCATTCACATTTTAGAAAATGCAGATTTGAATAAACTCTTATGTGCCTGTGCTCATGGCAGTTTAGAATTCTCGACGATTGCCAGTAATTTCAGAAAAAAAAATTAATGATTATGTTTACGTGTTTGCCTGCATTTGCTTACAAAGCGTAGCATAGTTGCCAAATTTAAAATGTTACCCACTGCTGTTGCTTATAGCACGTAATGCCTATATCTAGCACCTCCACAACAGTTTCATCTCATTTTCAATCTTTAAAATCAAGGACCCAAATTATGACATCAAAGAAAAGAAAAATAACACAGCTTGAGCATCCCCTGTCAGTCTTTTGTCGCACGCACGCAATTGAAGCCGCAATCAGTAGGCTGCAGTGTCAAACTCCTCATCTCAATTTTTATTTACACACAGCTGGTCTGGCTGCTTCCCCTATTTGTTGGTTTTGTGGAGTGCCTGAGACAACAAACCAATATCTAATATCTTGTAAAAGATGTGCCACATTGCGCAAAATTACATTAGGTGCCGCCTTCCGTCTTATCAGACTGGAGTTAAATACTCCAAATGTACTTTTTGGGGGGGCTTTGTCCTTAGGATTGAGTGATAGAAAAGTTGTCAATGCATTGCAGGAGTTTATTAATGGTTCAAAGAGATTCAGACTGTAGAACCAATTATTACTCCTAGATTACTTGTTTTCAAATTGTTTTATTTATTCATTTATCAATTATTGCTGAAATTACCTGCTTCATTTTCTATATCTGCAAACTTTTTTGTCAACTTCTAATATATATTTTTTCCTTTGATCCCTCTCATTCTTATAAAAGCTGTAAGCTAACATAAAATTATTTTGTTAGAACTACCCAGTTCTTGGCCAATCCCCCAGTGTAGGTGGTGCTACAGTTTCTAGGCCAATCCTTTTAGGCCAATTTTCCTTCTTGTGGTGTCTTATTCTGAGCTTTTAATTTTTTATCTGTCGGGTTTAACGTCCCAAAACCACGCTATGATTATGAGAGACGCCGTAGTGGAGGGCTCCGGAAATTTCGACCACCTGGGGTTCTTTAACGTGCACCCAAATTTGAGCACACGGGCGAGCTTTTAATTTTTAGCTACCGTAATTACTCAAATCTAACACGCACCTTTTTTTCCGGTTAAGCGAGTTCATAAATTGCATGCGCGTTAGAATCTAGTACGAAAAAAAAATGAATACAATCATTCTATGCCCATCGGCATTCCAAAATGGCCGCCCCCTACGTGCGTCGGCACGGCGCGTCAGCCATTTCTTCCTATGTGTTTCCCATGTGCGGCACTTCGTACGTGTGCTGAGGAGTTCGTCATTTTGGTGTGCATTAGCATCAACGACATGGAAGGGCCGACTCCAAAAACTCGACGAGTGCACCACGATGCCGCTTTTAAGAGAAAAGTCATCACGTATGCCGAAACGGACGTAAATCGGGCTGCATCGCGGTCGTTCGGAGTTCCCGAAACATGCGTGCGGGACTGGCGGAAACAAAAGCAGAATATTGTCGACAGCAAAGATTCACGCAAAGGCTTAAGCGGACCACAGCAGGGTCGGTTTCCGCAAATTGAAGAGCTGCTCGGCGAGTATGTGATTGAGCAGTGAGCGGCACAGCGGCCCGTGACGACAGAACTGCTTTAAGCGCAGGCTATGCAGTTAGCCTTAGAAAAAGGGCTAATGCAGAGCCAGTTTGAAGCGAGCAGGTGCTGGCTAACTAACTTTATGAAGAGGAAAGGCTTTTCCCTCTGAAGGCGAACAGGCATATGCAAAAAGTTGCCGGAGGAGTACGAAGAAAAGCTTCAGTTTTCAGAGGTTTGTCCTAAACTTGCGGCACAACAACGGCTCCCTGCTTTGGCAAATCGGGAATGCCGATCAGACGCCTCTTTACTTCGACATGCCTGGCACCACAACCGTCGAGAAGAAGGGGGCGAAGCAAGCGCGTGCTGACATCGGGCCACGGTAAAACTAGAGTGACGGCAATGCTCCCTTGCACGTCAGATAGGCACAAGCTTGCCCCGCACCTCATATTTAAACGGAAGACGCTCCCGAAAGAAGTCTTTTTCCCGAGTGGTGTGATCATGTGGGCCAACAAAAAAAATGGGTGCGCGTTGCAATCGATGTCTTACTTTTTTTTTCGTCATAGAAACCGGGTGTGCGTTACAATTGTGGGTGCGGTAGAATCAAGTAAATACGGTATGTTTCACAAACGATATCCCTCAAGAGATATTTCAAGGTTATTAATGCCAAGTCGCCCCGATATACAGATTTCTTTATTGGCATGTGAACTTCTATTGGCTGCTTCGTGGTGACCAACAGAATAAAATGGCAACTATTCCAAAACTGAATGTTACGTGCAGCCAGAGCATAGCAGCTCCACAATCTCTAGAGCAAAATGTATTAGCCTCTCAGTCATCTAGAATCAGTCACAGTGTTTGGTTTAAGCTCGAAAGTGGCTATGAAGGAATGAAGAAATTTATGAACGCTATGAATGTGCATCACTTGAAAGACGGACTCAGAACATTGCCAGCAATCAAGAACTTGGGCAATTTGAAAACGCGCATCATGGGCCACTTTGATAATACTAATAGCTGCTATGATTTGTTAATAAGAACATGGAGAAGGAAAATCTTTGAAGAAGTGTATTTGATAAGAAACGCTTCCGCGAACGTGCTACAGCCCTGCTGAGTGTGGCCGATTGATGCCCTCCTGCTTACAGTGGCGCCTCTGGTGGCCACTTTTGTCCCCATATGAAACTTTCGTGGGAGTTTCATTACCAGAAAAAAAGTATTCAAGGATCATGGTAATAAGCTTGTTTAACCTTAAAGTGGGGCTTGGCGTATGAGCGGCTTTTCTTGAATAGATGCATTCACAGTACGGCACACTACCACTGCAGTAAAACAACCTTTACAGAAGGTTACGTGCGGTCTAATGTACACCCACTCTGATATTGATATTTCTCTAATAATTCAACTTCTAATCAAAGCACATTCGAATACTGTAACATATTCCGCCAAATATTCAAAGTTCTTGAATATTCACCAAAGTCTACTGCACACAAAAGTGGGATTTTCCGGAAATGTCAACACAAATCTTCTAGTATCGTAGCTCATTGAGTGAATTGGCATATCTACGTCTCAACTAGCTGGGCGAATAGAATGAGGACACCAAAGAAGAAACATGAAATATCAGCGCTTACAACTGAACAAATTATTTGCATTCACCCCACATATAGTGATCAGAAAAAGATTGTACATTGGACATGCATACACCAGCACATTTGGCCCTCCTTAAACATGATGCGAGAACCACAAATGAAAGAGCCTGCCTCACTTCCAATGCTTTTGAATTTTGATTGCACAAGTCATCAACTTCAGTTATTTTGTGACAATAATGCTATTCCATGCAATGAGTATGTACATTCTCAATGGCACAATAGCCTTTTTCAAGAGCTTTGTTTCTTTTTAACCATATTGTAGCACGGAGTACTTCCCTGGCACATTTAAAAGTGCACGAATTGTTTTACAAGTCTTTTTTTTATTTCATAAAAATGTAGCACAGTTTACTAGCAATGAAATTGGAGTCGGAATCAACAATCAGGAAATATTTCACCGTGGACATGATGTTTAAAACAAAGCCCCTTCTACATTTTTTAAATCATATATATATTCCGTCATATATAGCCATGTTTACAATAGCTAATAAGTAGTCACACAACCTCAATCCCCAGTATATTCGTTTAGCGTATTCTCGGTATGCATCCTAAGGAAATTAGCCTTGATAAGGTGAACACGCTTACTTTCAGCTCGGTCAGCTCCTTATCCAAGCTCTTGATCTTATCTCGAGCATCAGCCTGCAGATATAAAAGCTTGATATGAAGAGTATGAATGCAATGTAATTATGAATGGGATATATTCTGTCCATCTTTTATCACACTTTAGATACAAGCACACTTATGGGCTCTTTGTACTCCAGCACAACACAGTGCAAGTTAGCGTGACGAAGCACAATAACTGCAGATTATCAGCCATCACTTACTGTCCCTTGTTATTATGGGATCTTCCCTAAAATAGCTACAACTTCGAAATGGTAGACGCATATAAACAATCAGCAACAAATAATGAATGGGTAACCTGCATTAGCGCTGGTCAAACACACAAAAGATTACCTACGCAAGCTCAGTGATGAGATGCCTCATTTATAGCTTCTGTGTTGCGATGCTTTTATTCTGGTTAATCGGCACAAAAACATGCATCATTCCATTCCAAGAGCATACTTGACCCAAAGTATCTCATGGTAAAAAAATCTAATGCATTATTACCAATGTTTGAAAAACATTTCAGCAATGTCTGTGAGTATAAACTTTGCCTTTCTGCAAGGTGGGTGAGCTAGCTGAAGTAGCAGCAATCAACCTGCTGCAAGAGCTTTCACTTAATTTTGCATACACCATCTGCAAGTTCACCAACAAATGGGTTCTGGCAGATGTGTATGCAGAGCTGTTGTGTTTCGATGTCACCTAATTTAGCACATGCCTCATGCTTAGCTATTTGCCTTTACCATAAAGCATAAAATGCACCAAGCATCACATAACCTAAAATAACACATTCAGGTTAATACTAACGCTCCTTTTCACAACAAGTTCTGCTTAAAAAGATACTAACACAGAAGCAATGTTTACTCACAGAATTAAATGTGCCAACTTATGGCTAAGTAATGAATGTACTTGCTTATAATGTCTTTAGTTTGTATTGCATAAAAATATTATAGGCTCTTAAACTTGTGCCAAAGCCAAATTCACCCTTTAGTGGCTAATTTATAGCACCATCGCATGGTTGTCCTGTTCAATGGGCACAAGGGTGTCGCAGAGGTGTCCCGGAATAGGGACCTTCCCCATTTTTTTGCATACAAATAAAAAATGTTTTGATCATCATCAAGCAAATGTATGAATCAGTCATGACACTTGTGAAGATGGGTTTGCACAAGGGTCACCCTGTCAGTGGAGTCGGGAAAGGACATAACATATCTGCGAGCCCATCCACAACATTCTATATAGGATTTCTTGCCAATCTTCATTGATTTTAAAGCTGATTAATCCCTTAACGATTTTAGATGAGCATAGCTTGTCCTTGCCAAGCTGTTTTGAACGAGTGTGGCTTATCCACTTGCGATATCTCCACATAAGCATTTTCAATGATACTCTCTTGTTTCCAGCTAGTTCTATGTCACTTCACAGATAGCAGCACTTGCTTGGCAATTTATTCAACTGCCATCACACATTTTTAGCAATTTGTGTTTAAGAAAGATTGTACTGTGAAGGCGGCGCATGCGTTGCTCGTGCATCGCCGCAGAAAAGAAGCCTTTGGTTATCATACAGGTCTTCAGGCGCTAATTATTTAGACAGTTAAGTTTAGTGCGATGACATGTTATATTTGTCAGTTTTTCAATGATGACAGCAAACTTCATTATGCTACTTCGACATAATACCACTACCTAAATTTCTTTTTTTTTATGTCATAACATGCATTTCAGAACAAAATATTCAATATTAGGTTGAAAAACAATAAAACTGTTCAGACAGAAAAACTCCCAAAAACTTAATGAGCATTAAAAAAACAAAATGGTTAAGGGGTTAACTACTCTTGCGTAATGAAATGATTATGCAGAACACAGAAAAGCACTGCCAGCTTACTCCATGCAGCCAGTCAGCATTATGCCTTAAGTGGCATCGCCATAGTCAGTCAGCATTATGCCTTAAGTGGCATCGCCATAGAGTGAACTGGTACATGTTACATGTAACTGCTGGCTAGGGTTACCTGGGATGTCCTGTATATCTAAGGTATCTCATACTTGCTTGTGCTCGTCTCCTTCTTCCTGTGTGTTGTGTTTAGTCGCACCCTCACGGTGGTTTCTATGTCAAAGCGCCAACTCACCCAACAGTCAACTCTTTTGTATCTAATACAAATTTGAGCCATGTAGTACCGGGCACAAGAAGTACAGTGCAATTATACCATATCCTCAAGATCACATCCTGCATTAAATGGCTGAAATGAAGTACAAACATGCACAGATTTGCGACATTTTAAGAATTGAGGTACGTGTTTCGGGATGCACCATGATGACAGCTGTATAGGTTTTAATACCAAAAAGCAATGCCTTAAGCAATGAAAGCGCCTTACCCGGTCGCGTTCGGCCTGATCTCTGACGGTCTTTACAGCTGTGAAGGTAAAACAAGGTGTCATCAACAAACGCTGAACACGCTTTGCAAGAGTTAAAAAGCAAACAGCTCATTAATTAACACCTAGGGGGGAATATGGTGAAAAAATAAATTACAAAAACTAAAATTTAGATGAGCTAAAACCACAATTTCAGAGTCCGTACCGGCCCCTTGGTTACAATAAAAGTCACCATGCTCTTTCCTTACAAGATGGAGTTCCCATGGTTCTCATTGCTATGATTACTAGCTAAGATTACTGCAAAAACACAGGTGTACACCTTTTACAACTATACAGCACACTCTAAAGCAACCCAAGGTCAAGATCACACAAAAACAATAAACTCAGAGTCTTAAGATAAAGTTCAAATGCTGGGCAGAATAAATATGACGTAGTTCAACAACACTGAGTCTACACACACATCTCTTCCACAACAGAAAAAAAAAAAACGTTCATGGTAAACATGAATTCCACCTGTACATTAGGTCAGATTAATCTTTGCTACTTTTAAGCTTGCAAAGCCCAAACTAAACACAAACACAAGTTATCTTGACACATAAAACATTTTGAAATGCATAAAATAATTCTGGTAACAAAATATTACCATCTTCGGCTTTTTTTCTATCTGTTGTTTCCAGTTGTAGCGTCTTTTCCAAACGACTTTTGTGCTCGTAAACAACTGCAAAAAGAAGAAAAAGACAAGATGTCCTGGAGCACACATTTCACATAAAGTCCCCTTTTCCTTAGACCAGCCTTTACTCTCTGCTCTGAATCTCATGCGTTTCTTATAAACATCCTTTCTCACTGCCCGACAGATTCTCCCCCCATGGGCCCTAGAATGCCTCAACACCTCAGAGGACTGGGAGACCCTACTGCGTTCAGAGGACCCGGTCGAGCCGACAATGGCTGCTGCCAGCGTCATAGAGCACCACCAAAGGAACGCTTGAGCGCAGCGGGATCGCGTGGGGCCCAGGAGCCTGTGTGCTCCAAACTCCTCTGTTGAAATAAAGCTTTTTCTCCTCCTCCTCCCAGCGCACTGAAAATCTCCCAGAAGCCACATGCTTGCCATAGCGGTGAGTATGAGATGAAGGACATTTTTACACTGCTGTTCAATTTAAAGGAAATGATTGTAACAGCAGCCAGTAGTACAAGTGTTAAACACAGTGTTCCAAGCCTGGCAGCTGCTTTCGTAGTTGTTATTGGCTCCAAGCGCTGTGCTCAAGTGTTCCAGGTATGCACATGGCTGCCAGCACATAAGCAAGCTATATAAAATCTCAAATAAACTTTACACTGTAGCTTTTTAGGCAAAGTATATGCAGAAATGCACAATTTGTTAACCAAGTGTACTAGAAAGCTCATCAGCATGAACCAATAAAAAATTTTCACTGGGATCTTGACAAGAGCCCAATTTTTCGTTCTTGTTCCAAGTTACACAACTAGAAATCCAGTCTTGTTGCAGTGCTTGACAATTGAAGGAAATAAATGAATACAACAGATAGGCCATCCAAGATTCAGACACTACAGTCATAAAGGAAATGAAATGTAACTATGCTATAGCAGAAGCGATTTACCGATGACAAATGCCCTTGTTATAAGCGCACACAATGAACCCGGCGAAGGTTGTGTAATTGCAGCATCAAAAAATATCCGCTTGATAGGAGTGCTTCCTGCTTGGATCACACCACGATCAGCTAACTGAAAAGGCAAGACTCCTCTAATAACAGATCAAGATTATTTGAGGTATTCTTACCATACGATCGAAGTATCGGATGGGCAAACACGATATTTCATAGAGTAAGATAGACTTCTACACGCATCAGACCGTAGCAATAAAGTAGCAGTTAGCAACTGCAGGTAAACGGTTTATGCGTTTCCGTCAGCATAGGCGCGAATGCAGCAACCACGCTCGTACGCGCGCGGTGAATAAAAAGAAAGCACACAAGAACACGCCCAGCAGACGTGGCGGAACAAGGTGAGGTATGGCATTCAGAACTCGGCAAAGTGAGAATCAAATATCGTGCATATCCACCTTGTAGCTGGGCAGACAGCGAGTCCCTCTGCTGCTGGCACTTGTCGTTCGACTCCTGCGAATCTTTTAACTTGGTGTGCGTGGAAGACAAGAGGAACACCGTGAACAACATACAGCAGCCTAAAAGCACGTACATAAATGTACGGACTTTCGAATTCCTCATGATGACGGCCGTGTTCATGTTGCCCGAACTTCACTGCAAGTGGAGCGCAAAAAACAGGGGAAAGAAATAAGTGAACTGGGCAACTACGTTACAGAGCGTGTTGTCGGCAACGAATTCATCCCCGTCGAAGCGTTCTAAGACGACCAAGCAACTTTTCCTTCTTTTTTATCTCGACCACTCGAGCGCGCGCTCGCGTGCACAACCGCGGTTTTCTCCGACATGAAGAGCTAACCGCTTCCGTTCTCTTCAACAGCGGGCCATTAGAAACTACAACACGAGCTCAAAAGAGTCCATGCGAGAATGTAGGGCAGCAAGGTATTAAGAAATAGACGTACGACGAAATTCGTCACGCACGAAGCAAATATGTTTTACAAACCAACAATCTATGACGTCTAAATCAAGACAAAATAAGTGTTCTTCTCGGCAAATGTTCAACGCCTTCCTACGATACACTGCTGACCGCTTTCGGTAGGCGTGTGTTTAGGCATGACAACACAGAGCGGCACTACAAATACCATTTCAAAGGCGGCCGCTTGCACTCCAAGGAAGACTGCATCGTTTAAAACTAGCGGCGGAACGACGGACAGCATTCGCAGATGCCTGGAGATCATCGAGTGTGGAACAGCGACGCGACTCTTTTTACAGCTGACACAACACGAATCAACGTAAACATTTGCGACGTGGACGGCGACGGCCACTGATGCATGCCGGGAGATCGGCCCGTCCGTTTCGTTTCAGAATGGGCTCTCCGCGGCTGCTCGTACCAGCTGCTCAGTAGCAGTCAAACCAGTCGACACACACGCTTCGCCACTGGCTGCGTGCAGTACCTCCGTCTTCTCGGCCTAGATGCAGGCGTTCGTTCAACGCCCGTGTCTCTGTCACAGTTTTCATCGGTCACATCGCTCTGTCGCCCCTGGTTATAAAAGTGCCGGAACGCGGTTGTCTGACCCAAGCAGCCAACATTTAAAAGGACGCACTGCAGGACGTGCAGTGCAGTCGCCAGTTATATTCTTGTATGACGCACGATAATTCGTCTCTGTGGTTTCGTTTGTGACGCGCGCAGCTAATTAGTAGCTTTTTAAAACATAAATTAAAGCGTCCTCTTGTCCTCGCTGTGCTTTCGCACTTTCACGGGAATTTAGCTTAACTGCGGTCACATGCAGCGACAGCTTAACTGCGGCCTCGTGCTCGAGCGTTGGATTCGCAGGTTTCTCCTCGGCACACACGAGCCACACAGAGAAGCCATCTTGACGAGAAAAACGTAACAGCATGATTTGACTCGGGCAGGACAGCACATTTTCCCACATCAATAAACACACTCCCTCAATTTTGAAATCATCCGAAGAGGCGACGTGCTTATAGCCTTTATTTTTATGTACAGAGCGACATCCATTTTGCATAAGAAGTAATACAATGGGTGTACAGATACAACTCCATGACAATTATACCAGAAGGAATGCAATAGCCTAAATTAATGACAAGTGATCAATACAAGGTCACATATACCATCAACAATTTTCTGTATTCACTTACACTCGAATAAGCAACAAAAGCGCAGCACTACCTGTTGTACAAGTGATGAATACTCCTACTAAAAGATTAAATGAAAGTTAAATTAATATTTTTATTTACTTTTCTCAGCAGCACCAAAGAGTTACAGTGCATACTTAGATGGAAGACTAATGCAGCAGGAATAGACAGTGTAGAGCAGAATACTACTTGAAGATCGAAACACAACTTCAATTGTAAAAGTTTACCAACATCACCGTGTATGATCTGTCAAGAAGCAAAAGACGTAAAGGTAGAAATCGCAAAAAAAAATCTGCATACCCTGTGTCATTAAACACAGCAGAAAATTTCAAGCCTCACACCACGAAATGAGTTTCTGTTAGGTGCCACCATTCTTTGATAGAAGTGAATTTATGTACGGAAAGAAATAGTTACAGCAAACTGTTTGTGTTCATGATCTACTGATACATTATCTGTATAGTTTGTAGCCAAACAAAGAGACACACAAAAAACAAATGTGTACATGTGTACACATTTGCTTTTGCAAATGCAAAAGCAAATGTGTACACATGCACATTTGCTTTGCAAATGCATTTTGCAAATGTGCAATTTGCAAAAGTACATGTGTGTTCTAACACACATGTACTTTTGCATTAAAACAAAAAAAGCCTGGGGTTTTGTGTGCCAAAGGCATGTTATGAGTACATGTAAAACCATATATGGGGACACCAGATTAATTTTTACCACTAAGGATTCTATTACACAAGTACACTTGTGTTTTCGCATTTGACTCCACTGACTAACACGTGAAATCTGACTCATGGGAATTCGACCCATTTGTGATTAGCAGTAGAGCAAAAGTAGCCTGACTACCTTATCAGTTTTAGCCAGGTTTGTAGCAGAAAGATAGCAAAAGCTTTAGAAGACTTCGAGCTAATAACCCGAGAGCTACACAAGCTTCCTATGAATATTGTCTACGCATAGAGTGAACGGCTGTTTTTGTTGTTTTTTTAGTGCCAAGCAAGAGCCTACTTGCAGTGCGAGCAACCATAGTGCATATCATATAGTGCTGACGTGAAACATCATAAAATTTGTGCATGCAAAACACCGTGTACAATGCACGCCCATTACAGCTTATATTTGCCATTTTGGGCTGTGTGGCCATTGCCCCATTTGCTAAGATTACAATGAGACACAAGACTACTATAGATTTCAAGCATACAAACAGCGGCTGTCTGTCAACTCATCGCATGGAGTTGTCTACCTATGTCAAAACAAAGCACTATTAAGAGTGACAATTGAAATCACTTTGCACAAACAAACCGTCAAGACAAAAATAGTGCACATTTGGATGCCTATGTTATACATTTTGAATGCACTTCGCTAAAGAATTGTAATTCATTAGAAATGAAAACACTTCACTTCAGTAGAATGGTTTGCTGCTACCACAGTTTACTTGCAAACAATAATTCTCTTTGCATGTTTGCCAAATAAGACTTGGAATTGAAAGCTTTGTGCAGACTTGTCTCAAACTGGTCATCCTATCCTGTCTGTGCTGTATGATTACTTATGTCATACCAACAAGTTCAAAGCATATGCCTCTGTAATAAATATAATGCCTTTGTACAAACTTCATCACTCATGATATAGTTATTAACCTGATCATTTAATCATTTGTGCATTAACTGCCTAGGTACCACAAGTTTGGCCTAGAAATATTTATTACATTGCTCCACAGAACATGGCCATCTCAGTTGAAGTGATGACAGAGAGCCCTGAAGATAATGACTGCATGTAAAACAGTGTTAGATGCCACTTTAGGAAAACGCTTACTGTGGCTCAAATGTGTAGCATAGCAACTTTAGCAAATATACGAATTGAATTTTATGTTTTGCAGAAAAAAAAGCATGCAGTTTTTTCAAGTGAGCTATTTTTACTTTCAGATGGTTGCCGAATGACGTGAGCTGCTGTCAAGCTGTGCCCCCCTCCCCTTACACACTTCTTTAATGTGGAACACTAAGCATACTTGCGCACATTTGCTACGCAGTATCACATGACCCCAAGTCTTGCACTGTATCTGTTAAGAGTGTATTGCACTTGTAAGCTATAGCATTCTCAGCAAACAATAATAACAACTACTCCACTCCAACTGCAGACTGCAGCACATGAAGTCAAAGTGCTAACACAGATCATAGACTGCAGTTTGAACATCTGTGTCATTACACCACATAGACCAGAAGAACACTTCCTGGTACAGTGCAAGCCTCCCTATGTTCCGAGTACAAAATACCTAAAAAATACCAAGAAAAGAATATTATTGGTGCCTCAATTATCCTACAATGCGAATGAATGCAACCACCAGATCTCCTCAAAACCAGCCATTTGTTACTAGCTTTTACAAATTACCAAGCCCTACTTGAGGCAAGTAAATGTTAGGGTCAAAACAAGAAGCCATGTTAGCACCAATCAGGCATCAATGATGACTATGAGCAAAGTGCAGGGATGCTTGCACAGATTCTTGAAATTGTGTGAATAGTGTTTAGTCCCTTATTCAGTCGGACTGCTAGAAATGTCCACAGTCAAGTCATAGTACAAAAATTATTTTCAGTGTACTCTATCTAAGCACATAAGTAATGAGCAAGCAGGCCTTCCTTTTTTTTTTTTTCGTGATTAGCTCGGAATCTGTAGACCAAAAATAATGCACAAAAAACATTCACTCACACCTCTTCTATACAGGCTCAAGGTACAGCAAAACACTATAATGGGTGCATTATATATGCAGTATACGTTAACATCACTAGAACAAGAAAACTACTTTCATATGCAAAAGTCTACAGTCAGTACAACCACAAGATTTGTTAATGTGCTTATCTGCACATGTCGGACAAGATTTTTGTAAGGCACAGCACACATGTGTTTCTCTTTTGCGAAGAATCTCGAAATCATATAGCTACAATGACTTGCAGAAGGAATTTGTACAGCTCCAGAAATGAAGTCATGAAAAGGGCAAATCGACATAATGATTAGCAGTGGAGGCACTGGAAGCAGTGGGGTGTAATGTTTCAGAAACAAAGCAGAAGAATTGCACAAGGCATTTTGAGGTAGTGACAGCTAATGACTGCAGAGGCAATGAAAGGCACGACATCTACTCTGTATTATGCTAAACTGGTAATTTATCTTAATTAAATTCCAAACCATTTAAACCATAGAATGAATGATTGTAAGACTCACTGCCATCAAAGTTCCTTAAATGACTAATCTCTCTAGTACCAATACCACAAAGCATCACAGTACAGCGAGCTAACCTTGCCCAATGATACAACGTCAACACCAGAGAGTAGTAACACAGCACAATAAATTCCACAATAGCTGTGTGATGTCAACAAATATTACTGCATAATGATGTCATCATGTGAATGATGCTTGGCATATCATTTGGAGATCAACATTAGTGTCAGAATAAATCATGTGTATGCCATCATCTTTTGCACAAGGATCTTGTAGCACCTTCTGCAAATTGAAGATATTGTTACGTGAAGGCACACGGGAAACTAAGCGTTTGAAGATATATTTACACAGCGCCAACGCGCAAGCCAAGATGGAGAACAAGAGCTGTGCCCTACACCAAAATCACGTCGTCTTCCTCGGCGCCTATCTAACCGCCTTCACAAAAACTATATGTCAGCATTTCTGAACGCAAGTTCTCTGTTGTTTCTGTGAGTTTAAATGCTTCTGCGAATCTGACAAACAAATATTTTAAGTGCACTGGAAATGCAGCTTGTGCATTTGCTTCATTTGGAAAATGATTTAATAATCAACTCTGATATGGCACGCCTCTTTCTTATACTTAAAAGGGACACTGAAGAGAAGAATGCATTTTTTCATATTACGTCTTCACAATAAACACTACTCTTGCTGCTAGAAGGAGTGTGTCAAGTGACAAAACATGCAAGAAGAAGAAGGCACAGGTGGCAGAGCTGCCTTGCAATTCCCACAACTCGTGATGTCACAGATTTTGATGGCATCTCCTAGGACCTACATAATTCTGTCTATAAAATTATTTACATTGTGCAGCAACACTTGGTGTAGCAAGTTTATTATATCAGACTTGTTAAATTATGACACTGTATCTAAAGTCCTTGGCATCACAATCTAATAAAGCCAAGGTGCCAGCAATGTCACAGCTGACATCATAGAATGCACTAGTAGTTTTTAACTGTAGTGTGGTAATTATAGTACAGATAGAAAGGAATTAAAGAAGATGAAAGCAGTACTAGCCACCGGTGGGGACCGAACCTACAGGATACGAATCGAAAGGTTGTGAGTTTGGCCCCCACCTACTGATTTGATTAGGTGGTTTTTTTCCGTCCTCCAGGCATGGCACATAGGTAGACATTGCAAGGAATTGACCAAATAGCAGGTGAATTTTGTCAATATTTTCTGTAGTGTATAATTCCTAGATGTGGTGGTTAGTTATTCTATTAATTTGAAGTACCAATTAGCAATTATAACATAATGAAAGCCTGCGGAGTTTAGCAAGATATTCTTTTAGTACCAATGACAAATTCCTCAATGGTGAAGAAAACACCCCTATGGTCATATCCCATAGCAGTGGCACCAAAATAAACAATGACCGGTTCTGACAATTCCAGGCACAGCTTTCGAAGATGAAGTTCGGAAATTCTTTTTCTTAATGTAGTGCATCGGCCACACATGATAGAAAGTAATGAACAACCATTTCCTCCCGATTGCAGACGAGGCACAGAGGGGAAGTGGCCAAAGCTGATCTATGCAAGTAAAAACTGAGGGAACCAACACAGCAACGAAATTTTGTGATGGCAATGGCTACTATGATCATAGAATTAGATAAATTACCGTGCCAGAAAGGTATTTGTACTCCGGAGCAACAGTCGATACTAAGTATGATAACCTTTTCCGGAATGTAAGTGTGCAACATGTCACCAGTCGTGATGCGTGCTGTTAGTGGAGAAACACAGATGATCAGCGCAAAAAATGGCGTCCTTGCAAGAGATTCTGCCATTTTATTGAATTACAAACATCCATAGCCAGGAACCCAAATTGAATGAACAAACTGTGGATGAGTGGGAACTAGTAATTTTAAGAGCTTCAGTTTAAGCGCATCACTGGATGCGGATAAAGTAAAGCACATAATGAGTAAGTTGTAACTTTTGCTACTGTAATTGAAGCGCCTTGTGAAAAGCTAATATTATTACCATGAATTCAGCAAAAAATACAGGAAGAAAATCAGGCATCCAGAATGAAAAAGACCAGTCATGTTCAGAGAAAATTACAATGCCAGGTCTTTCCTCGGATTGCAATACGTCTGTTGCAATGTGTGCAACAGAAACGCCCGTCGACCTATTTATCTTTCATTTCAACATCAAAAAGGCAGTCAAGTTTGGTATGAAAATTGGGGGACCCTTAGGCTCCACCTTAAGAGTTGAACATGATCCCGATATCCTGTGTGTACTTAACGCATTCTGTGTAATGGGTACCATTACACAGAATTAATCTATTCAAACTTGCTACGCACCTGCTAGGTGGCCTTAAAGGAATAGGTGCCATAATGTGTGTGACTTTGTAGTGGGAGGCCAGCATTGAACCATGCAGTTAATATGATAATCACATGTTCTGATGCCCAATAGCAATGTATGTTTGTATCACCCATAATTACTGCAATAATTAATGTTGTGTTGTGAAGCATGTATATAGGACATGTGTGTTTGTATTGTATTAAAAGTTACTTTGCCTGCATTTACAAGCAGAGGAATTTGTTTTCACTGCATTTCCAAGCTGACGCATGGCTGTGTGGTAGAACACCTGTTTGCCTCGCAAACTACCCGGGTTCAATCTTCACTGGGACACGTAATTTTTTACTATTTACATTATTTGCACCTTCATCAAGTTTTTAGGTCATGCACAAGATGATTTTTGGCTCATAGCCAATGACGCCAACACCGGGATTGCAGCAAAGTGAGCTATTTAATGCTATCGTGTTAAAATTTGAAACTGAAGCTTTGAAATCCATTTTCTTCTAATAATGTACCTATGATGGCAAAATCAACTAGAAATAACCTTTCAGTATAAAGTGATTAAGGGGCTCCACTTTGGTGTCCCTTCAAGCAGAAAGCAATACCCAAATGGGGAAAAAAAAAGAGCAAACCTATGTGAAATTGTTTTCACTTGCTAACATTTCTTGATAGAAAAACATTTTTCTAAGGAAAACTCTGTAACACCAAACTGTGATTTATACAAATGCCCCATACATTCCATAGCAGCACATCCACTATTGATTCAGAAGCGTTACACCACTAGACCAGCAAACGAGGGTCCAAAAAGTATCCCTTAACAGTTAACAGACATTGCAATGTAATTGGGGAAGTCCTGGTTGGCTGCAGAGCAATCAACATATAGCCACACCAAATACATCCTTAAGTTATCTGTTTAAAAATATACATAGTAGAAAACAGCCACCTTCATTCAGCACCGTTAATGTTGGCGCCGGGAAGTGGTTTTCAGCACTCTGCCAGAAATTTTGCTCTGCGCTATATCCTTGGATGAAGTGGGCTTGTTTCTTGGCCTCCTCTTGCCTCGACTACACTTCTTGATTGCACGAGCTGCCTTCGTTTTATTTTGAGGGCTGCTTTGCGAAGGCTTCTTTTCAAGAAGGCTTGAAGAATCATCATCACCATCATCATCATCATCATCAGGAAGACTGTCTAGCTCAGCTAGAGTTATGATGCAGTCTGGGTCTTCACTCTGGAGTTCCTCCTGAACTGTGTTCTCCACAACTTCACAGTCTTGTGTATCTATAAGAATACTGTTGATGCACTTCCCTGTCTGTACTGCAGGTGCAGTCCCATGGTCAGTTTGTGCCCCACTAGCAAAACTGTGTCTCGCTGTGGCTGCTGAAGATGCTTCTTTGTCAGCTGCTTCATCAGGCACATCTATTTTCTCCGACGGCTCGTCTGTTTGAAGCTTGTGTGAAAGACGGTGCTGCAGCATTTTGACGTAGGAGAGGAATATTTTGTGGCACACTGTGCATGAGAAAGTCATGAAATTCGGTGGCGATTGGTTGGTGGCCCCACGGGGTTGATCTTTGGCTGCAGCCACCTGGGTTCGAATCAGTTCAGCCTGTTTTGATTGGTTTCTAAGCATGTTGATGACTGAATTCTCAACCGGCTCTTTAAGGGACACACTCGTTGCAGAAGAGCAATCTGCTCTTTCAAAAGAACGACAATCATCTGCGCCAGGTGTCCTTGTGCTAATCACCGCTTCGTTGCAGTCTCCGATTCGCTTGTTCTTCTTCTTCTTCAAGAGGCATGCTTCGCGGATGTGCTTTCGGTAGTTGGAGAGGTGGACAAACGGGTGAAGGCAGTACGGACAGGTGTGCTCCTGCGCGTTGCGCTTGACCTCGTGGCCAAGGCGACCACTGCGCGCAGGGACTTGCGATGGTTTTTGTCCTTCGGGTTTGTCACGTGCTGCCGCAGCTATATTCTCACTTTCGAGTTCGATCACTGGCTCATTCGAAGTACCACCGCTAGCCTTTCCACTGAGAGATGCTTGTTCCATGCTGAAAGTGTGAATTAAAAGGCCAGTCGTACGTGTTCCGTAAAGCAAGAACTCCCCACGTGAGTTTGTTTCACGTCTGAGTCATCCCTGAGAGACTCCTTCAGAGCTCGCGCTTCAAGTCTCTAAAAAGAAATATTCAGCTTTCAGATCGCTTGAAGTCTTCTGTCCAGTTTGCGTTTCTGACGTCAATTTACGCTGGCTGATTACGTTATGCCACCACCAAAGACCCAAGTCACCCAGCCTTACAGTACATCGCTCCTGCCGACGATCAGCACCACGTTAAACTGAGAGGCGTTGACGTGTGCCTGTTCGAGCCACTCGATGTTTGTTCACAGTAGCAACGTAGCAGAACACACTTCAGGTCGCGAGGCCGATGCAATCGTGTTTGTAACTTCTGAAGGTGAAACGATGTCAACGAACTGACAGCAAAAGGGGTGCGAGGACCGTTGTCCTTGGAGCGCAATCGCTACTTTCGAACAGTTCACCGAAAGATCACACGCAGCCCGCACGGGAGGTGCCAACGGTCTGTGCAGTGAAGCAAGCAACAGATAAACAACCAAGGGCGCACGCGATGAACTCCGCGGTAATCCTTGAATACAGTGAAAGAAATATTTTTTGTGGCTAATCAATCAACTATTTTTTATTAACTAACTATTGCTATATTTGAAAATGTAAGAAACTGTGTGTACGCGACTGCGGTGCGTAACAGCTGTTTAATGGCTGCTTGTGGATGAGTAGACAAACCGCATAAGTTTAGTTTTAATTATGAACTTGAAAACCTCTCCCTTGCGAAATGCTTGGGCATGGCTAAACTAAACGGGAGGTGGCTTGGGTTAGAGAGAACTTGCAGTAAAGTACTTGGTTCTATCTATGAAAGAAAAAAAATTCTGGTCTCACGCGCGTTGGTATGCACGGAAAACATTTGATCGCGATCAAGGAGTGGCCGCAGCCGGTCTGCTGTTTTTCACGCATCATTTGTGCAAGATTATAAAAATCAGAAGTTTAGACAGCGTGTAAACGTGGGCGTGTTGGTGATGCATTGCAAAACTATTTATTGCAAAGCGTTTTTTTTTTTTTCATAAGTGGAGGGGGGAATGGTAGAGGCACCTTTTACTGTGGGCTAAGCAGGCAGATGTGCCCGAGTGTTGGTTTTTCCGTGGCCCATGGCACAAAAAAATTTAAAATTTCAGGAGGGGGGGGGGGGGGGGAGGACGAATGTGCGGTGTGCCACTTCCTGGGTTGTGCGGGGTAGGGCATTGGGGGCGGCCGCCTCCCCCATCACGTATGTAATAGGGGGAACCAAGCTAGGGGGGGTGCTGATCCCCCCCCCCCCCCCCCGAAATGGAACCTTGCGCACGCCGTTGACCCTGTCTACGCCACTGGCGATTCGTGATTAACCATAGCGCAACAAGATCTATTTTGATGGCATTTTCTATAATAATGCCAAACACCGACCGAGCAAATGTTAAGCACTACTATATCATCTGCTACACCTGCAAGAAACGTTGCGACGAAAGTATTGCAAAGAAAAGGGAGTGGCATGCTCTTATCTCGACTGGTCTTTTCCCTCTGCCTTCCAGATTTTGCACCCATATTTACTGCAGAATTTTTAGCAGTGCACCCACATCTGGTGACTCGTAGGTATTGAAAGAGTTCAAATTCCCAGTACCTGATTGAATATGGGTACCTGGACGTATATAGAGGCCTATCTCTAAATGAAAGTGTTGATGCAGTAACAAAAGCGTCGTTAGATGGATTAGCTAATATTATCTCTACAAAATTTTTTATCGTAGTGGCTAGATTTCAGAGGCGAATGATATGAAAGTTCTGTGTACTGTCTCTAAAAAGTTTCCCAGATTTTTAATCACCTAATAATGCAGTAGAAAAGTTTGTCATGTCATACGAGAGAATTCGAAATTATAATTACTAGGCTATGCTGTCATATACCATCATTTAATTTTAACATACAGATCTGGTTTGGCACCCTTCCACTTTCTTCTTATTGAAGGGAAGATAAAACAATAGCACATCTGTTTTGTTTTTTTCTCATGCTACATCCTTTTGTGCTCACATTGTACAAGATAGCACGGCCACTAAGGTTTACACAATGACTACGGTTCCAAATCTTCATGGTTATACCTTTTATATTATTATTATCATTCTTGTTTAATAAAAATGAATAGACCCGTTTTTTTGTTTTTAAGATAACAGTTATGATTTAAAAGAATTCTGATTAAACAAAACGACAACTTATTCTTTTTCTGTATTATAAATATTTTTTCTAAGCTACCCGACTCTTGCAAAACCCCCAATGGTGGGTGTAAGCCAAAATTTTGGTATCAACATTCATGAAATATATCTCTGGGCAGACTTGCTTTGCCCAGACGGGGGTCCATATGGCCTGTACTTGCTTGCAACTGCCGTAGTGTGGCTGCTCCGCTGTGTTGTAGGTCCCAGTGAGGCAGTGGGTAGAGGCGTTTGCTCAATCTGTACCACCGCATAATGTCACCGTAGCTTGTGACGAAATACTCTTCGTCTTCGACTTCGGGTTGTTCCGGCTTCGAGGAATGTGTTGACGAAGACCCGCGACTAGTTAGCATGTGTGTCTCTATCTGCCTCCTTGGTGCATTCAGGGCCCGCGTCCAGCTCCCCAGCATGCGCAGGGAAGCACTTGACGGTAATGTTGGCTTCCAGTTTCGTTATCGTTGTAAAATATGCCGCCAACACTGCAAGAAGGCGCGAGCCACACAGAGACACTTTCCCTGGGTGTGTGCGCCACCGCCGGGTAATTAAGAAGCAATGTCAACTAACATCAGCAGCAAAACCGTGAGCCAAGAACCAGGCAACTAAACAGAAGTGGTCCAGCACGTGCTTGGCATCCTGGAATGCCAGCGACCGAAAGCCGCGCCCTCACGGGTTTGACGTGAGTATGTTGCTGCTCCAGGACGTCCAAGCATGCTAGAGTCTTGCTTTAATTTCCCTACCTCTTCCCCCTTTATGCCAGATCAACAATAAAGTTTCACTCATCAAAATCTACTGAGACAAGGACAAAAGAAAGAATGAACAACCCTCCTTTCGTCCTTGTCACGGTAGTCACGCTGTCGTTCATCATCAGGAGTTTGGCCGGACCTGGCCAGCGCTGCTCAGACTCCAACCTGATGAACGCTGGCCAGGTCCCCGCCAGTGAGAAAATGCGCAAAATGAAAATGTGGTTGGTGATGCCAGCTCGAAGTTCTCACATCAGCTCACCACAATGTCATACACTTTCACAGTGGCTGCAAGGGCCTACATAATAGCTTATAGATAAAGAGCATGAACATTGTGTTCTAAAAAACACGAAATCTTCACATAGCAAGTTTCAAGAATTTTCATTGAACCAATATGGCCAAACTATGCTAAAAAGACCTTGAAATTACCGACGTCACACAAACGTTCATAAGGCTGAAGTTACTGCACAAAATTCGAACATAAAAAATTAGCCTTCATTTCCTTTTCTAATTCCAGCTATTTTTAACCAGTGACATAATTTATGACAACAGCATTAGCAAAGTACAGTAGACTCGTAATAATTCCAACTCTTATAATTTGTAACTCTGGTTAATTCAAACAAAATTCGAAATTTCGGTTTGCCCGCTATTCTTTCAATGTATTCAAAAGCTGGTTAGTTCAAACTCCATCATTCGGTTAATACGCACTTTTTGTGAGTCAATACCTGAACATATATCTCTTGCTTTTCCTCTACCATTTGAAAATTTGCATGTTTATATAATCGTAACAGCAGAAAAATTAAAAATAAGCACCTGGTGCCTTCAAGGAAAAAGGCTTTGCTAGTAAACAAATGTTCGAAACAAAGCACAAGCGTGGTAGACCATGATGCTTCTCAACTGGCACAGAGAGCTCCGTGTTGAAGGCACATATAGCAAATAAGCAGCTGATTCACATTTTTTTTTTTTCAATAGATAAGCAATAAACGATCAATAACCCTGTGGACCTTATGCCTCCACTTTCTGCTTATATTGAGCAGTTAGGGCTTGAGAATGCTTAAAAATTTAGAAATTTGATAAAAGGTAACACCTAATCATAATGTCTCCTGTCACCTTGCCCAAAGTCATATAGTCACACACACGAACGCACACACACACACACATATATACACACACAAACAAGAACTTCTGATCATTCAAACAAAATCCAGGGGTCCCCTCAAGTTTGAATGAATGAGAGTTGGCTCTATGACTCATCTGTCCAAACAGATTTAATATTTCACTTTTGGTATATCTTTAGGATCTCTTTTGAATGGCTCAGCATACAGCTATAAAGTGATTCAGTTTTACTGAGCAGCCGCTGGTCATTCTCAAGAGGTGTGCTAAAGCAAAATCAAATATATGCAATGCCACACTTATGAATCACCAGTGAAAGTTTCCTCATCACATACGTTGAGGTTGACAAGGCAAGGGTTGACAGTTCAAGCTGCACTACACTGAAACAGGCTGCACCAGAAGGCCAGCCAAGGTCAGGTTCAAAAATAAGCGAGTGCAGAAAGATCAAAACCAGCAAAATTTGGAAGGAGCCTATGCCCTTTCATAGGGCCAGCAACAGAACTCTGCCAAAAAGAATAAACGTCTTAATGGCTTACATGTGAGCCATGTCCTTTTTCTCAGCAGAGCACCTTACTTATTAGGCTAGGTATCCTAAAGTGTGTAGACAAGATACATAATAAAGGCAGAAATGTCTGTCTTGGTACTCTGTACAGGGGAGGATGGTAGGAAGTGTATAAAGTGAGCCAGTTGCACAAAAGGTTGAAGAGACTCACTTCCTTGTTAGACGTGACTTAATGTGCTTGGCTGAGCAGTCTGTGTGTACCATGTATACAGCTGTGCTGCAGGAACAACAGCTAGACATGCTTCGCATGAGGAGCGCATATTTTACAAAACCAAGTATAATTCTAGTGGAACAATAAACAAGCTCTTACCCACTGACATTCGCTGCCTTCATCATCAAAATCAGTGTGAAACAGATGATTACTTGCTTGAGGTTAAACTGTGCATCTCTCCTAATTATATGGTGGTTTTGAGACATTAAACCCCACTTATAGATCAAGTCAAATAAATCATGACCGTGCATATCACCAGTGAAAAAAATGCGCGGAAATTACCGAGATTGCTCCCTCCAGTTACCCTCATACTTTTTCCTATTTCCAGAATGTGTGCAACTCGCTCAAAAATGGGAGGAGGCTCCGAGTCGGCACTATTTTTAACCCTAGATGACGTCAGCCGAATAGTTTGGCAGACTGGTATTGTGCAGAAAGGTTGCATTGTTTTCAAGAACTTTTGCCTCAAGCATTAAGTGCAATGTAATATTAGTGAATTATCCATCTAATCAATTAATTTGAATGAGATTCTTACCTGAAGCAATTGTTGAATGCTGGCAACCCAAGCAAAACAAGCCGCCTTGAACACACTTGCCTGCTTTTCTTAGGAGAAGGGGCAGCTTTCTTTCAATGCATTTAAAGCATGCAGAAAAGCCACCTCAACAGGAGCTACAAAAAAAAAAAAAACATTAGGCCTGCGTTCAATGCACAGCACAGTCACAGGAAAAACTAGGAGAGGTCTTTAAGAGCCCTGTTTTAACACTCTTTGGGTAGCTACTGCAAGTACACTTGAAGGGTACCCGCTACGCCATTGATCATTGTGTAATAGGCAAGTATTCACAATGCCATCCTTCGGAGAAGCGTGGTATCCGCTAAGCACTTGCAACGAACTTTGTTTTTCATGCAGTGGCTGATGATGGTTAAGAATTATGCCTGGAGGGTATGTGCCACAGTTACTAGGTGATAACAAGCTTTTGTAATGGCTTGGAGTATTGGACGACCAACTCGTTACGCCATTTGTATTGTGTGACACCTGTTGTTCCTTTGCTATTCTAAAACGTTTTATTATTCATATTAACACAATTTCTTTCCTGACATCAAGCCTGCTTAAGGCAAGTTTTCGAACGAATCCCAAGCGCCGGCGTGGCTCAGCAGTAGAATACTGGGCTGGCACGCAGTGGATCGGTGTTTAAATCTCACTATAGCCTCTGTTCTTGGTTTTTTTTTCCCCCCCTAATTCGTGCTACAGTGGTTGCGCACACCAGCGGCGGCAGCAGCGGCAGCTAAGGTGCTACACACGACCCATGTTGTGATCTCATAACAGCTTTCACTGTAAAACACAGGTCAAAGAAAAACCGTACACAATAGGTATTCAGACAGGAAAATGTCATTTATTATACATTGCAAAATATTCTCCCCTAATCTGCCAACAACATCAATAATTGTGGCATCATATAAAACATTCATTTGTAATACCACTTTTTTTTTACTTTTCATGATTACAATAAAATATTCGCTGACTCTTTCAAGGCACATTCGTGGGTACAGCTAGTACAAAAATGTACACTTGGACTCGCAAAAATATGAGAATTCTGCTGACATGCACAATATGATCAGTTAATAATAGCAAGGCACAGATGCAAGTTTATTCAACAATTGTTATCCAAATTATTACCTTTGCACTCTGCAATTAATCAACACTGATCGACAATAATAAGGCACATGATTACACTATGAAGTCAACAATTATCTCGATCATCGTTCACACAAAAAGCTTATAAACACACCACTTTCTCACAATTAAATAAACGTATGTCATGCATAGCACAATAAAGACACTTATACATTCAACATAAATAAAGATGTTTCTATTTACAAGCATTTCTCAATATTAAATCCTTTTCAGCTTGTAAACATAACAGCACCAACTAATGTATACATAACTGCTCCATAAATTCTCTGAGCTACATGTGACACACCACAGTTGAGCAGCCTTAAAATTATTTATCATATAAGGTACACAATGACCAAATGTGTCGACTTCACAAATGTTTTCTTGAGCACAAGCTTTCTCACTCTAAAAAAAAGACAGATCCTGTGTCATAATCTTGGGAAGTTCCAACGTGTGATGCAGAGCTGCATCAGATGCAGCCATGAATCTGGGGTAAAAAAAAAAAAAAAAGATGATTGAGCACGGCTTGGTTCTCTTTCACACAATTATTGCTTGTCCCGGCTTGTCTTTGATGTCCTGCCAGATTGTCTTCGCATACCCCGCCGCACCTTGTCTTTGACAGGTGCCTTGCTGACGCTTGAAGCGCTCTTTTTGCCGGCACCAGTTTTCTTTGCTGCCTTGGTTGTTTCAGCAGTGGCTTCTGAAGGTGCCACCACTTCAACAGGAGACTCCTTGGTTGCTTCTGCTTCAGCCACATCGTCGCCATCATCTTCATCGGGAAGACTGTCCAGCTCAGCAAGAGAAACGGCATAGTTGTGCTCTTCCCTCTTGAGTTCCTCCTGAAGGGCTTCACTTAAAACACAGTCACTGCCCCGTGCACCAGTAAGAATCTCATCGAAGCGCTGATCTTCGTCCGTTTTCATAATGGAAGTGGATGCTGGAGAGTGAGAGCAATCTGCTCGTTGAACACCCTCCAAAACCTGTCCTGCGTCGTCGGCAGACGTTTCCCCATCATGAACGTCTGATGCTTCAGCAGTGTCTGCCTTCTCTTCCTTTACCAATGGCTCATCTGTTTGGAGCTTGTGTGATAGGCGATGTTGTAGCATCTTGACATAGGAGAGGAAGATCTTGTGGCACACTGGGCACGAAAAAGTCATAAAATTAGGCGAGGAATGATTGGCTCCACCCGGCTGGTCTTTTACTGCAGCTGCCTGGGCTCCGATGAGTTCTACTTGCTTTGACTGATTCCTAAGCAGATTGATGACAGAATTTTCAATGCGCCCTTTGAAAGACATGGTAACCGTTGAAGGGCCATCAGCTCTGTCCACAAGAGAACGAGACTCATCTGATGCCTTGGCACTGAAAAGGGGAGGCTCTTCTCCATTCTCCTTTGCTTTCTTCTTTAGAAGACACACTTCGCGGAGGTGCTTTCGGTAGTTAGAAAGGTAGGCAAATGAGTGAAGGCAGTAAGGGCACGTATGCTCCTGCGAGTGGGGTCTGATGTCCGGCTTATGGTCGACGTTGTCTTCATCTGTGCGCTCTTTCCCTCTAAGCCTGCGGGCTGGTGCAGCCAGCACTTTACTTTCAACTTCTTTAGTCTGCACAGTGTTTGTTGGCTGATTCACAGGACAGCTGCTGGAAGACCAAGATGTCCCATCGGAGCAATTGGACACTGCCATACTGGAAGCATTCGCAAGAAGTTCAAGGCCACTTGTATCTGCTTCTTCAGGAAAGGTTACAGAACTTGACAAGCAGGCACTAGCAGTTTCAGAGTTTTCTTTCTTAACATCTTTGCTGTCCTGCACAGGCTCTGTGCATACCTGAGTCTCACTTGACACGTCTTCCTTTTTGGAGAACTTCCCAGCCTTTCTTCGTTTTACAACTTTTTGTCCAGCCACTTTCTTATTGGGACAAATATCTCTGAGGTGCTTTTTTAAGCTGGCCAGATAAGTGAAGCTCCTCTTGCAGGTGCTGCATGTGTGAGAATTGACAAGAGCAGATGAAGCACCACCAGTGGCATTACTGGCTGCTGCAGTCTTGCTTCTCAGGACTCTTCTGCCCTCGCCAAATATGGGTGATGGCACCTGCTCAATCTCTGCAAATTCAAATTGATCACTTTCAACCTTAACTTCTTCGCACGAGTCTTCTTGAGCCTGCGGCGAGACATCTTTAAGAGATGATTCAGGTACACTAGGAGGCATGCCATCCATTTTTTCTGCATCTAACGAAGCGTCATGTGTGTTGTTGATGGTTACATTGCCAACCAATTCTTCAGGACTAGATTGTTGTTTATCATTGGGGCTCTGCACAATAGCTTCATCCAAATGTACACCGGTGTCTGATTCTGCTATTTTCTCTTCAGTGTCTGCACTTTCAACAGTCGTGCCAAGCGCAGTTGCATCATGTTCATCTCCTGTATCGTGTGAAACAGGAACGTAGTCATCTGTGTTTTCTGTGTGCTCTAAAATTTCAACTTGCTCGACTGCCTCTTCGTTCTCTTCAATAACTGCCTCAGCAACTGGTTCGGCAGGAATGCTTTCAGAATGCACTTTCAAATCAAGGGCCTGCTCTTCATCCTGCGGCGAGGAGACCCTGGCCTTGGCTCGTTTAGCCTCGGCTAAGGGACTCTCAGACATGTGTGGTCTCTTTTTTCCTTTCACATGGCATTCTCTGCTAGTCATGCCGAGCTGCCTTGCAGAGCATCCGAGGCGGCTATGCACACTGTAACCTCTGGTTAGCTGCTTCTGGAAACCCGAGTTGGTACCACAATCCAAAATGTGCTGGTGGAGGTCAACGCGACAGGTGAAGCTTGAGCTGCACTTGGTGCACACCAGGTTTGCCTGTGCTGGTGCTGAATCAACTCTTGTCGTAGCAGTGCTGCTCTGAAAGAACCCAATGGGACTTGTGAAGGTCCAACACAATTCAGGGGGCACTTCTTTTTCTCCTTCTATTTCCACATGAGTGCAGACAACATTTGGGTGATTGTTAATCTTATGTTCATCAATAGCCTTCCTTGAACTAAATTTTGATGCGCATACTGAGCATATAAAGGTCACCGGGATATTGTGTCCTATCACATTCTCACCAGCATTCTGGGACCTAAAATTAGCAACACCGTTGCTTTTGTGAGGTGAAGTGTGATCCTGCTGCGATCCTCCGACGAAGATGCACTCTGTTTCTTCACTGTTGTCTGAGCCATCATTGGATATTCCTTGGTTGTTGGATGGAACTCGGTTTGAGTAAATCTGCATCATTTGAGTGATATCAAAAGCAGCAGGGAAGTTATGAATGCTGTATTGAACATTCGCCCTCTCACTCTTCTCCTCGGGAAAGGCACAGGGGTCCTGCTTTATGTTGAGTTGTGTAGACGTACCATCCAGGTGGTAGAGCAGATTTTCAGAGATGCGATGAGCAATGGTCATGTAGAATTGTTCCTCAGACATTTCCTTTGCAGCCGGTTTTGCTGAACGAGATCGGACAGATATTTGCTCCTTTCGAGACTGCAGAGAGCGCGTCTTTTTTTCTTGCTGCACTGTGCCATGGGTAGATTTCTTATGTTGGCGTAAACTTATAAACGTAGGGAACCTGCGCTTACATACACTGCAGAGGTACTTGTTTTCAGGCTCAAAGCCTTTTGCACGCTTCCGCCCAAAAACGTGCCCATCGGGTGGCTTGCCTCCCTTTGATGGTGTTCCCTCAACAGAAGCCCTATGTGTGGCCCTGTGTTTCTTCAACTGCCCTTCCTCTAGAAAAAACTTGGAACAGAACTCACATGGGTAGTAGCACTCGGGGTGGTGACTCCTGAGATGCTTCCGAAGGTGCACATCATGCGCAAATGAAGCTGCACAAAATGAACAGGGCAAGTCCGAGCCCTCGTGAATCTTTTCATGGCGCCGTCGATTTGCTAAAGTCGGGAAGCTCTTGTCGCAATGCTTGCAGAAGAACTGCTTCTCTCCTGAATGGACGGACTGGTGGCGAACAAGGTTCTGACGGTGAGAGAACGTCATTTCGCACTGGCTACAACTGAAACCTTTCTGGCCATTATCATCAACATGGCTGCTCACATGTGCTTTCAGTTCATCTCTCAAATCAAAAAGGGTGGAACACAGATGGCAACGATACAACCCTAAGAACTTGGATTCACCGGAGGTCAAGGATTCACTTTCTTTACGAAGCTGACGCACAAGATTAAGATTGATGTTACAGTTTGTGATGTCTGCTTCCGACAGGTACTTGTAGTTAACGTGCGTCCTGAGAAAGTGTCTCTTGAGGCTGAAAGCATGCTGGTAGGTTCCTGTGCAGACGTCGCACTTGTATTGCTTCTTCCCTTGACGGGCATTCACAGTCACTATATGGAAGCTCTGAACATGGAACTGGAACTCACCATCACGGATCTCACTCCCTGGCTCTTGTCCATCGTCAACATCTGTGTTGTCATCCGTGTTGTCCTGGGAGATTCCACCAATTTCCTCATCAAGCTTAGGAGATCCTGCGCTGCTGGAACGGCCAGAGGGCGACTGGTCAGTAACTTCGTCACTCTCAGTGCTGTGTCCAGATCCGCTGTCCTGCTGCGGGTCGTCTACGTCTTCTTCCTCCTCGTGGTCCATCTTGATGGGCTCCAGTCGTAGCTTTAGGGCTTCCACCCAGCTGCGCGCTTCATCAAACAGCCTGCATAGAGAAGAATTATAACTATTTAAAGCAGCAGAAATTACTTCGACATTAACGCAGCCTGCAAAGCAAATAGAAGGATCATCACTATCTAAAGCAGCGACTTACTTCAACATTAGCGCAGCCTGCAAAGAGAATAATTATCACTCTCTAGAGTAGCGAATTGACTTCAGCATTACCGAAGTGAAACGCTAAATACGCTATTGTGCGCGAAACTAGCGCGGTGCCACGTAAGTAGGGTGGTTTAGGCTGTTTCTACGCCACCGACCTCGGCATCTTGATCGTACTGACCCTACTTGGCAAGATATGGGTGCCTTGTATAACCGTTCGCACACTAAGAAATCGAATAACTAGTAATGCCGGGCGCGGACAAGCTTGACTAAGGCATTCCGCAACGCATATGATAACATGGCCGCGCGGAGCAGGAAACTCCGAGAGCAACACCGAAAGCTGCATCCGCCACCGGAGAAAAAAAGCACGGGGCATTCAAAATTCACGCCACGTGCCTGCAAGGATGAGCTAAGCTTTTTCCACCGACGACGCTGGAGCGGAGAAGCACAAGAGGACAGCACTAGGCTTTGCAGACGCCTTCTCCTTTATCAGCAATTGAATCGCCGACCAAACATCAGCAGTTCGCAAAAGCGCAAAATGGTTGCTAGACCAGAACGAGACGCCACGAAACGTAAGCTACACTATCACCAAATACAACGTGCCAGACGTGAAATCGTCTACTCTCTGCGGCGCGCGAATGTGCTACACGGCCCCTAAATTACCCTACTTACGATAAGTCACGTAGGCATCACCAAAGGTTGTCGCTAGTAGTCGCGAGTACACAGTTTGTATGTTTGTACTAGCTGCCGTTGCGCAAGTTCTAATGATAAACATTCAACTAGAAAAGCCATTTGTGCAGTTTAAGAGTGAAACACTAGCGGCCGCGCTAAGCAGCGCGAACGTATTTATCCACCGACACGTTCAAGCTCCAAAATCGGCCATTATAGTGAGACGGAGTGTTTCCTTTAGAACCGAGGGCCGCTCTCGACTGAAGATTCCGCGCAGCCCGAAGCTACACATTCCTTCATTTGGCAGCCAGAAAAAGTCGATCTCCACGAAATCAAACATGATGTCGGTAAGGCATGCGGCGCACCGATCACAAACAGACGTGCCACTTGTTGCAGAGGAAAAGCAGCGACGGTAAGTTGGGCTTCACGGCACCACCTTTGGAATGATACTCACCAAGGCAGTCGCGGGTCTCGCCGAAAATCTCTCCGAGCATGCTTCACAGGCGTCCTGTCGCGTCTGCGTTGGTCTCACGATGCTCGAGCGATAGTTTTCGATGTCAGGACGGGGCAATTTTGCATCAAACAGCCCGTTTCCGAAGCGGGACCGACCTCGGCCCGCGGCGTTCCAGCACATACAACCAGGAGAACTCTCGTCATCCAATGAGATGGCGCCGTCCGCAAGCCGGACCAGGTCCATTGGTGGCGCTCGGGGTGGGGAAGCCGCTGCTGCTGCTGAGCTTGCTCCACTGCGCGGCCATCTCCTCCGTGCGACTTCGCGGTGCGCGTGTTACCCACCGCCTGAAACCGGGCTAAAAGGAAATCATTTTGGCCGCGAATAAAAGCCGATGCGCAGCCTAGATTCCGTGGCGGCGGCGTTGCCTTTCGCGCCCGAAGTCGCGTCTCGTGTAGCCGCTGCGCGTATCAGTGCGCACTCTATGCTACCGCCGCGTGCGCATTTCACAAACAGCTGTGACAGCCAAGGTGGCTGCATCCCGTGCGAATCGGCGACCGCTCATCGCCACCCGTTATTGCGCGCTTCGAACAAACTGCGGGAAGTGCTGCTCCGCGCGAGGCGAAAACAGGTGCGCTCACGCAGGGCCACGCGCCGATCACATTTGGGAGGTCAGTTTTTAGAATTCGCTGTGAAGGAGAAAGCCGTGCGATTCCCTCTCGCTTTTTGGCGTTGTGCATAAATTAGTGCCAGACTGCACAAAATCATTCCATCTATTCTTAGTCGAAGGAGAGTGTAATTAAAGGGGCTCCATGATTGCAAGACCGTTTTGCCACCACGCGTACACTTGTAGTAACTAACCGCATGAAAATGCACCGTTGGTGGGGCAAGGAAATCATGTGCGATTGTGAGTACGCTTATATATATGTGTATACAGAGAGAGGGGGGGATATATTTGGGGGAGAGAGGTTCGAACTCCGAACCCAAAGCATACGGGCCCATCACCTCCCCCCCCCCCCCCCATATTTTTATCCCATTGCGTCACATACTATCATTTGCGACCATGACTCCACTCCACGGTAGCTTCCCTATCGCTTTCACGTGCGACTATGCGGATTGCGTATTCTAGCGTTTCAGAAGTTCACCTCGAAGAGAGCGACAATACGCATATAAATACGTGGAGAAAATTCTCCTTGTCAAGGCGGCAATGAAGCGAAACTATTTACAGGTAGTCCCGGTGACGAGAGAAAGAAGACATTCCGCTAGTGCATGCCTGCATTTTCACGGGGAAAAATAATAGTTATAAAGAAACACTGGTGCACATAATAACCAACAAGTCCCGCGCCGCGCACACCAGCGTATTTCGTCGTTTCCAACAATCGCGCAATGTAGCGATAAGCCTCAGACAAAAGGCACGTGTTATCTTATCTTTCATTCACTCAACAGGCCCCTTCCCGATCCTTCTTTCTGCGATTCGCGTTTTGAAATGAAACACCACATTATATATGACCGCATGATCCACCCGCGTTTTTTTTTTTTGTTGTTGTTGTTCCTGTACAAAAATATTGATAGCCTCATAAATACATGTTTTTGCAATGGTCTAGCTGCACAGTATACCACATTAGCATTTGCGTGGATAGAGACAGCAGAGCTCACGGCCATGAGAAATTTCTCCCGTGGCTGCATTACTGATTGTTCTAATTGCGTAATGCGCGATTGCGTAGTGAATCAACATAATAAATTTTCTAAGGATGGCTAGGTAATAACGCAGAAACTCACATTCCGAATGTGAATGTCTTATTCATTGTAAGTAATAATTTAAATAAAGGTGCCCCGCCGCGGTGGTCTAGTGGCTAAGGTACTCGGCTGCTGACCCGCAGGTCGCGGGTTCAAATCCCGGCTGCGGCGGCTGCATTTCCGATGGAGGCGGAAATGTCGTAGGCCCGTGTGCTCAGATTTGGGTGCACGTTAAAGATCCCCAGGTGGTCAAAATTTCCGGAGTCCTCCACTACGGCGTCTCTCATAATCATATGGTGGTTTTGGGACGTTAAACCCCACAAATCAATCAATCAATTTAAATAAAGGTGGGGGTGGGCGAAGGGTGTACGCCTCCACGCTTGCAGAGTGTGAATATACATACCATATAAAACGCACTTCTACCCGCAACGCGATTCAAATGATTGCAAGAAAAGAACACTGTCCGTGAAAGATTAGTTGAGTTTTGCGGAAAGCCTTCGCTACAGGGGAACATGCAAAGCCTGCATGGAGGATTGTGCACATTAGCGAAAATTACACCAGGAGTTAGTCTGGAAAAGTGACGCGCAGGCGTAAGTTAACGGTGGTAAGGGTGGCAGGCAGTGGTTGGCAGGCATTTTTTTTTTGTACTTTCGTATCCATCATTACATTAAATCTTTTGTGACATTGCTGGGCTGCCACTCGCGTTGGTGTCCTTGAAACTTGTAGCTCGCACACTTTTTTTGAGGGAACGAGTTCAGAATAAATCTTTAAGATACGTGCGATAAATTACTCCTAAGTAAATAAGAAAGTGATAAAAAGCGAATAAAGTGTGAAGGTAATATTAAAATTAGATAATCGGCAGAATACGAAATATTTCTCTTATATGTGTACCGCTCTACGATCACCCGTAATGTGGACTGCGCAGTATTCGTAAATGTGCAAATTAACGCACTAATAATATACGAAGCGAAGCAATTGCAAGGCAACAACATCAAAAACAAAACAAATAAACCAAGGCGTAGGAGGCAGAATGTTTTCCGACCGACATATGCTCAAGCGCGCAGCAAATCATTTATATATGCTCTTCATCACAGTGCAGAGTAGCAGGCTTTTCTCTGAGTTGCATCTAATAAGCAAACAACATTGTCTGCGTCATTGGGCAATCGAATGTGAATTCTGGGAATGTGCGCTCTGTTCTGGGTCATGCCTTGTAATCGCTTTGCGCTTGGTGTCGCGCTTTCCCGCCGCGAACCAACTGGGCGTGTCTCTTCACTTTTTCCCAGGTTGAGAAGGAGTTGGTGGTTATTTGACTTTCCCTCTTCATGGACGGAGATGAAGACGACAATTTCATTGGAGGGCCCTGGGCTCAATTGTTTTCCCTCGCAGGAAAACTTGCGAGGACTCAGGCTGTAAAACGCGAGCGCGCAGGTGCTCGAGGATGCTTCATTTTTTTTTTTTTTTTCATGTCGTATGACGCTACTATATGAACATACTGCAAATAAACGTTTCTATTACCAGCCTCGGCTCTTCTACTCGTCTTAATTCTCCTGAGACTCGGATGGCTCCGGTTCGGACCACGTTACCCAAAGTCGCAACCGTGATGGAAGAGACGGGATGCGGCGGCCCCCGTTTCGCAACACCCCTGTCCCCCCCCCCCTCTCTCTCTCTCTCTCTCTCTTTTTTTTTTTTCCGTCGAAGCGAGCTGCTTTTCACGGAGGATGTAAATGTAGGAATGTACACACGCAGGTTCGTGCATTGCTGAACTGAATAGCCTATTCCCTGGCGCGGTGTGCACATCATTCAAGTACGCACCGCCTGTTACTTACTTCAACCGGATTAAGGCGCGATGCACCCATTTGTCCCATTTGTACACGCTTCTTCGCCGGTGGGCAATTTCGCTTAACACCATGTTCGACGAGTGCCGCATTTCGACAGACATGGCAAAATAATTTAATTCAATATTTTTCATATTTTTCTCCCCCCCCCGCCCCACACAAATAATAATGCGATACGAAAAAAATTTGCAATATGCATGCATTTGAAAGAGAGAGAGAGATAATTTATTAGAAGGCAGAGAGGTCGGGCCTGAGCTAGTGCGCTCTAGCCTGCCACTTTACACAGGGGATAAGGGAAGGGGGAAGGAAAGAGGGATGAAGGATAATGATGGGGACAGGAAGAGGAGGTGCGTACGTACAGTAGCCACTTAGGATAGCACCCTACAGCTTAGTATCTGGTTCAGTGCCTTTGATATAGTCTAAAACAGCCCTTGTAGCAGTTTCTGACACTGTTTGGTGGCACATTGCTGACAAAATGTAGCTCTCATTGAGTGGCGTTCGTCCGATGCTTGCCATCGATGAAGTTAGCATCTTCCTTTTCGTCACGTGTCACGGGAGTCACAAAATATATGAAGCTATATGCACGCATTTGTGTTAACAAATACCACTTTATTTAGGTTGTACGCTTTGGGGTATTTTTTTCTGTTTTTACAAAAAATGAACATACTTCTACGTGCATAAAAACACAAAAAACATACTTTAAAAGGATAAAAAACTTGAGCTTGTTTGAATGAATCAGTCATGAAAAAACAGCGTGGTTATACGAGACAAGAGCGAAAAGAGGGCAGGAGCGACAAAAGAAACATAGCGAATATGTCAATTCTATTTTTTTAAATGAAATAAAGACAAATAAAAACCATATAAATATATATGAACTGAGAAAGGAGAAGCGTACATTTTCTACTGCGGTAAGCTATTGAATAGACAGAACAATCCTTATGTTGCATCAAGTTGTTTCAATGTTGTATCAATTTTACGTTGTATCAAGTTGTTTTGTTTTTTTTTTCAGAAGTTTTGACAGTCCGTAATAAATTTTTCTTTGCCCGAAGCAGATGCAACGAAAAAAAAATTGCGTGCATATTGTGATCTATATTTCGTTATTTTTGAGCAAAACTAAAAGCATGACTCACCACAGCATAAAAATATTTAGTTACGCCAATTACGACTAATTAGGCGAACTTGCACAAATAAAGATATTAATTACCTCGCTTTCCTTCCTTGAAATATGATATAGAGCACCTCGGAGCAACATGGTATAGCGGATATAACGCGTGCACGAGTGTAACGAGCTGCCGGTCGACATGCGCGGTTCCTCCCGCACTGCGGCCGGCTGCTTTTAATGACGAATCTTGGCAGTGATCGAATAACAATAATCAAATTTCAAATTTCAATAATCAAATAACAATAATCAATTTAATGCGTATAGGTATATCTTCTTAGAGTGTCTGTATGATATGTTTGTTTTCATGAAGAGTTTTCATGTATGATGTCCACCTGTAATGCTTTATTTGCAGTGACAATTATGTACATGCATGTTTTGATTTTTCTGGTCGCTCTATTGTTTGTATACTCGCATCGCATGCAAACATGTACACGCATGCCGAATGCGCATGGGAGTAGAGCCTCTGTCAGGCAATACGGCCTTTAGCTCTTACTCCTCTTTCTGTATCCAGAAAGAAATAAAATAAACTTCAAACTTCAAACTGCATTTTCAGTTTCAGTTTATTTAGCGAATCTTTTTCAGCAATCATGTTAAAGTACAGTGATTCAATGTTTTCATACAATGGCAATGGTCAACAATGAGTAATGCAATGAGTAATGTACGCAATATAAATCAATTCAAGTGAGCAATTTCAAGAAAATAATACGCCTTACTTTTCTAATTAATCTGGAGTGAAACAGGCGAATTCACTTCTCATGGCGTAAAAATATTGATTAAAAATAAAAAATAAAGCGCAAGCTGATTTGAGTGCCATATTTCGAAGCGGGGAAACGATACAGGCCCTCAGAGAGGCCACATAGCATCTGAACATGAGAAGAAACCGAATTGATCACCGGCGGCGCTCGAACACTTGTAGTGCCTCGCACAAATGCCACATTGTCCTTCGAACAGCGACGGATATGGAGCATCGTGGAGTCTTCGCCCTTCCGGTTTCTTCCACCGACACCGGTTGTCGTTCACCCGCCCTTCTCAGCGACGGAGAGCAACATTCCAGAGTGGAATAATGCAGGGGAAAGACAATAGCGCGCCTGAAGTGTCGACACGCCGCTGCCGTGCTGAATTTGGTCTTTTCTGTCTAGATGCATCTTAAACGAGCTGCCGATTCTCCTAAAAAAAAGGTCATCCGGGCACAAAGACGTGCGCAGGCCGGGTTCCTCTTCAGGAAGGGGCCAATTAAGGTTCCTCGTAGCGCCCCCCTTCCTATTATGTCATAGGGCTGACCAAATCCCCCCCCCCCCCAACTCCTACAGTAGTTGCAGCACCCCCTCCCTATTATGTCAATGTATGAGGCCAATTTTTCGCTCCCCCATCCCTTCCCCCTTCCGCTCTCCTATGTATAGGTGCACCTTCAACCAACCGTCGTCAACTGACCATTGACCTTTGGAGGCACAGTCGTGTTCATCATTATGCTCTGGTCAGTCCATCATGCTCTGTCTAGTAGCGTCGATGGACTCCTGGCCACCGCGGGGATAAGAGAATGGGGGCGGGGGGGGGGCATCAATCTTCCAATTATTCAAGCGCACTGAAGAGCACGCCGTGACTGTTCATTTCGATCGCACCAAGTAAATGCTACATATAAAGTATTTTTTCTCTCGTTAACCCGTCGGGATGAATGCTCCGGGCACGACGATCCCTCATGATCCTCCCACCGGTTCCCCATTGGAGGGGGGAAGTGTGAATAGGATTGTCGAGTTTGTGTCTTCAGTCACGTGAACGCAATCTTTAGACACTAATGGGCGGGCAACACCGATTACGTGCGATGTTTCTCGTTATTTCTCGTCTTGTAGCGACATATTGAATTTCCTTTGTTCGAGAAAAAGGAGAGGGAAACGGCCGTGCGCGTGGACCAATGCGCATCATCGGCTTCACTGCGCGTCAGCCATTTTGAACGGCGGCACGCGCACGCCAAGATTCCAAGTCACGTGGTCTCATTTCACATTTCACGTGCTTTTTCATTTATATATAGCCGGAAAAAATCACCACAAATTGTTGTGATTTGTCGCCGTTAAGTTTCGTACTATAGAACTTTGTTATTGTCGCAAAAAATTATATCGAGTGTTCCGGAATGCTCTCCTGAATGTAAAAGAATGCACTTGACATTAAATTGAATAGCGACCATCTTAAGTTATTTATTTATTTATTTATTTACATTCAGTGTCATTATGCACAGCAAGATATTGCAGGAATGAGTGCAAATACGCAATGAAAATAAAATAATTATTGCATAATTGATCTCCTCAATGAGCGCGAGATGTAGTCTAGTAATCTCTCTGGGGACAACTTTTTTCTATAATCCCTCCCTCTGTATCTCACAAAGACGGCAAACAAACTTCTATTTTATATTATTATTATTATTATTATTATTATTATTATTATTATTATTATTATTATTATTATTATTATTATTATTATTATTATTGAAAACCACATTTCTTAAATTCTTGTTTTTCGTTACGTAAAACACCCTCTATACATTTCATTGTATTCTTAAACCGCATATTATTTTCAAAGAGCTAGAGCTTGTGCCCACTTTATTTTTCATTATTTCTGAGTATGGATTTAATTCAAAATACTATTAATGAAAATATTTTTAATAGTTTCATTTTATTTATATTCGCCGATTTTTGCCCAACACTATGAGCCAGGGTGGTTGTAAGCCAGAAGTCTAATTATCTACGTCTGCATATCTGTCAAGTGCATTCACTTTTAAACGCGCCGCGTTGTCGCATTACACCTGGCTGAAGTCGCATAGCAACCTGCGTGCATTCTTACCCGTAGCACAATGCAAATTACATGAACTGCTTCCGTAAGAGTGCTTCACACATTGCACCAAAATTGCGAGGCGAAGCCCAACCTCTGTCAGCGCTGGCATTTCACAAACGAAACTGTATGAACACGCTTCGTACCGACTCGGCAAGTGGCGATTCGTCATGCAAACTTCTTGAGTTATTTCGTGTTATGAAAAAAATTAACGCCCATTAGCTTGTCATTTTATTATTACATTGGTGGTGACGTTGAAATTCACGGACGCGTCATAACACGTCACTTGACCTTCGTCACTGCTACGCACGGAGGAAGAAAAAAAAAAACATGCCTTCCTCCGTGCTGCTACTATTGTTTTGTGCCGTGGAGTCTCAGAGTCGGTGGCACAGGCATGTCCTGGTTATACCACGGTCCACGTGTTTACTTGCGCTGCTGAGAACAATTTAACGCAATGACCTTTGAACTTTTCAAGACGTTTGTTTTCCTGTGAGGCAGCGGCATTGCGTGCGTAGGCGGCTTCTCTTTTTTCATTGTCTCTGCGTAAATACCTTGTTTATCAGAACCTGAATATTGACACCTTAGCAATACTTGAAATATAACAAGAACTGCTACAGAATACTGCAGATACGTAAGTAACGTAACACGTATTTCTCCTCTGTCTGCTGATTGCCGTTATTCAAAATCTTCAGTGACATCGACAGCAAACAAAAGTGTGCGAAGCCAAGCTGAACCTGTGGCCGAGCCAATCCAGACCAAACGAGCACAAAAATGGATGAATGTATGGATGACACAGGTTCGGTATAATTCTGTTTGTTCTGTAATATTGATGTCGGTTGATCGCGAAGCGTTATAAACCGCTATAAGTAAATATGACAAGCCACATAAGCGACGTAAAGCCGCGTCCTCATCATGCTCGAAGGGATATTTGTGGTTCGAGGCCTGCTTACCGTCAAGGTAGGAAGGCCACTGCCGTCAAAGTGTTCACAATCAACCAGGAGTCCTGCTATCTGCTGATAAGCAACGTCAGCGCCGTTGGTGCTGGCGAAGACCTCAAGGATGCTTGCCTAGAGTATGGCGACATCGATGACTTTCATGCCGTCGATGGCTACGACACGGAAGAATTCACCGAGACCTACCTGGTGAAGTTCGCCCGCGTACAGTCGGCCAGGATAGCCAAGAAGAAACTGGACGAGAGGTCTTTCTTCGGCACTGTGTTGCATGTCTGCTATGCGCCCGAGTTCGAGACGCTGGACGAGACTCGCCGCAAAATAATCGACCGTTGCAAGTATGTCGCATTCAAAACTGGGCAACATTTCAAGCCCATTACATCGCGCGGTCGCAAAAGACGCAGCGAGGACTTGGGCAGTAGCTTTCCTGTCGAGAAGCGCGCTCCGAACGTTACCGCACCGGTCTCTTATATTTGGGCTGGTCAAGAGTACTCGTGGACTCAGTCGACCAGCAGCCTCCCCGTCTTGTCATCGCCTTCGTGCGTGAATCCGATGTACAACGATGAACCTCTGAGCTTCAGTAACGCCCCTCGCCAGAACGCCACCAGCAGCGAAAGGCCCTTGGCACCCAAGAACGAGCCGAGCTGCTCAAGTTCCCAGCTCGTCACAGACGCCTACGAGAGGACCATCTCATTGATTCGAGACAAGGTTAAAGGAGTGGCGGTTCCGAACACAGACGTACTCTTAAGGAAACGAAAGCCGTGACTGTTTCCTACTCATGTGTACTTCGCTACATCTTGGTGCTTGTAAAAGACAATTCGAGACTCTTCATGTTAAGTTACGAAGTTGGGATCCATGCTTGTGAAGTTGTTTATTCCATATAAATGTTGTTCTCAAAACCTCTCTTTTTATTCAGTCTGTTCACTTACCCACCGACCCCCCCCCGCCCCTTTTTGTATCAAGGCAGGAGTTGAGGGAACACTAAGTGTTACCTCACATTCATCTGGGCAAGCTGCCTTGTCAGAATGCGGGCTCAAGCAACATTTCTTTTTCAACAAATTTTCATCATAGCCTATTTTAGTTGAACATCATTAACTGATGTGTGTAGTTTTTTTTTTTAACAATTTCTCTGTATGAATGTAAGCTGGTTGACTTACAGGCAATTATGAGATGAACAACATTTTTGCACAGTGTTTGTTGCACGCTATTTCTAGCTGTATATTGGTACATAAGTAAACCAATATATTATTTCGGGAACTTTATATCATCAACTGCAACTTTACACCAAGTAACTCTGCATTTCGGTATTTGACACAAAAAAATAAGCACTTTTGGGTAAACACTTACAAGCTGCTGCTTATATAAAAAAATTGGTCTGCCAGAAGAAAGTTGGGTACAAAACTGCCAGTGTAATGCCATACATGCAGTTTGAATCTATGCGCCCAGATGACCATGTAATCGTCGCCATCCTTGACAAATTGCCGCTGCTTTTTCTAGGAACAGCAATGGAATGCAGTGTAGATACATTGGAACAACAGATTTGTGAACATGCTGGCATGCCTCCAAGAAAGATGCCTCGCACCGATCTCATCGAGCTGGCTCGTCAAATCGAAACAGTGAGTTGTACCAGTCATCAAGCTGAATGAAGCTGTGTGCAGTGTCTTGTCATGATAAGGAAGCGTCTGAAATCAAGACAAGCATCGCTGAAGAAATATGTAGATGGCATAAACATGTTTACATTGTTCACTTAGTTCTGCCAAGGTCCTCACTTCATTTTGCAGTCATTATTGTCAGTGCAAAATTGATCGCATAAGCCAGCATTGAGTCATCTTGTCAACATTGAAGTGACAGAATCGGCCTAGCATTAAAAGCATACTGCAAATGATGAAAACCAGTTACAATGATGACGCTTCATATGAAGCTTAGCACTTGAGCAATTGTCCAGAGTGCTTTTCCGGACAGAAATCCCTGTCAAGTAAATGCACGTTATGTGCAATTGTGACGTTTGTATTGCATTAGAAAGAGCTGGATCATCTAAAGATTTGTTATTCTTTTTTACTTTCTCACCCTGAAGCAAGTTGCGTAGGGTAGGCACTGCACTCTCGTGGCTGCTGCGCATCTACTGTATATGTTTTTAGCCTAGCATATTTATTTCTATACTTTGCCTTATTATCAAAGGAATTTATTAATCTTCTTTCTAACTTTCTTGAGCCTAATACAGTTTTCCACCTGTTAGAAAATTATACTAGGTATACTCTCTATAACCGAAGTGACTTTTTGTCCATTTGGCTATTTTGTTCCCATCATTATTCCCATCACTGGCGAGCCGTATTTACTGTATATGCTTTGTAGCCTAGCATATTTATTTTTATAATTTGCCTTATGAATAATGGAATTTATTAATCTTCCTCCCAACTTTCTTGTACCTTATAAAGTACTTCATGTGTTAGAAAAATTTCCGCTTGGTTGTCTCTATAACAGAAGTGGCTATTTTGATTCCCATCATTATTGCCATCACTGGCAAGCCTGCAAATTCTGTGGAGGTGAAATGCCCGCCGCGGTGGTCTAGTGGCTAAGGTTCTCGACTGCTGACCCGCAGGTCGCGGGATCGAATCCCGGCTGCGGCGGCTGCATTTCCGATGGAGGCTAAAATGTTGTAGGCCCGTGCGCTCAGATTTGGGTGTGCACGTTAAAGAACCCCAGATGGTCGAAATTTCCGGAGCCCTCCACTACGGCGTCTCTCATAATCATATGGTGGTTTTGGGACGTTAAACCCCACATATCAATCAATGTGGAGGTGAAAATGCTTGAGGCCTGTGCACTTCGATTTAGGTGCATATTAAGGAACCTCAGGTGGCTAAGATTTTCAGAACTCTCCACTACATAGAAGTGTGGCAGCTTGGGCTAGTTGGTATGGCATGAAGATAGTTATAGCGCGAGAACAAAACGACGACACAGAGACAAGAAAGACACGAGCGCTAACTTCCAACTGAGTTTATTGCGCAGAGCGCGAAAATTTATAGAGGAGACAGTAACCATGTGACAAAAACCATATGGCACAAAGAACAGAACATGAGTAAGAGAAAAAACAAAAAACAAGAGCACAGAAAAACGGCAAAGAAAAATCTATAAGAAAACCAAACAGAAAGGTAAATATAACTACTTGAGTGCACAGAAACCTTAGAGGAACCTTCTGGGACAGAGCCATGGAGGGCTTGCTAATACAAGGCACCTGTTCGCGTGCCAGTGATAGGCCCCGCAGATGGCACGCCAACAGGTGCCTTGTATTAGCAAGCCCTCTGTGGCTCTGTCCCAGAAGGAACTAAGGTTCCTGGAAGGTTTCCAAAGCAAGTAGTTATATTATCTTTACCTTTCTGTTTCGTTTTCTAATAGATTTTTCTTTGCCGTTTTTCTGTGCTCTTGTTTTTTGTTTTTTCTCTTACTCGTGTTCTGCTCTTTGTGCCATATGGTTTTTGTCACATGGTTACTGTCTCCTCGATATACGATATATTTTCGTGCTCTGCGCAATAAACTCAGTTGGAAGTTAGCGCTCGTGTGTGTCTTTCGTGTCCTTGTCGTCTCTGTGTCGTCGTTTTATTCTCGCGCTATAACTATCGTCTCCACTACAGCATCTCTCATAATAATATGGTGATTTTGCTATGTTAAACACCAATAATTATTACAAGCTGATTCAAAGCCAACAAATTAATGTAACCTGTTTGCCCCTAGCCCAGCAGCTCTGCGCATAAATGGTTGAGGTGTTTTTACTTGCAAGCTGCCAATTAGAAACGATGCACACAGATCAAAATTAACATAACATGCCATTGCAGCCTATCATAGCCGATTTGCATGTAAGTTAACAACACGAGGTAGGGAAGAATGTGATACATAATTTAGTGCACCACATATGTCCTAAAGCAAGGTGTAGTCTTGGACCATCAACTTGATACAAGTCTGAAGAGTCGCTGAAAATTAAATGTCTACAAATGTGATGCCTGTCACTTGTATAGCTTTGGGATCTCGGTATGACACCGCAATAACTCATAAAATGATTGTCTTCACATGTTGTTGTCTGGCAGGCGGATGACTTCATCAAGGCCAATGTCTCCAACAAGCTGACTGTGATAGCTGAGCAAGTACAGTTTCTCCAAAAGCAAGCCTACCGTATCCTTGAGGAGGCTCAGCTCAACACCAGGCTTCACCACGCTGCGTGTAACTTCAAGAAAGTACCTGGATCAGTGTACTACCTCTACAAAAGACCGAATGGTCAAGAGTACTTTAGCATGATCAAGCCTGAGGTGAGACCACTGGGATAAGTTCAGGGTGTGACGTCTTGCGTCGTAATGAACTTTAACCTGCAAGAAAGTAGCCGTGCCAATTTTATATGTCCGTGTGCTCAGTGGTAGGTTAGCACAATTGTTAATGAATTCATTTTGGAAGCTTCGAATTCGTGGTTTTGCCTGAAATTCACGGTAATGACACAAACACTTGCATGCCAAGCTTTCATAGCACATTTTGGGAGTTGTTTAAAACTGAACTGGAGGAGTCCTCTGTGGCGCTTCCCAGCTGCTGTGCTGCTCCTAGATGATGAAATCCTTTCATGCAGGCCTGTTCAAAATAGCAGGGTACACTGATGTTTGCCACCATTTGTTACTTGTGTTTTCAAGAGATAGAATTAAACTTGAAAGCTGCCTAGGTTTATAGGCCTATATTATAACTTCAAAGCACAATTAGGAACTGAGCTACAACTGGTATGATTGCATAGCCAGCATTTCATTCCCTTCAGAAATACAAAATTTTATCAGGCTGTGTATCAATAAAATTCTAAGCTGAAAAACGAACAGCTCCTACAGAGAAATAAAAACTACAGTGGTAATGGTTTCAATGGTAATGGTAATTGGTTTGCAACAATGTCCACAGCATAATCAGCTTACCTAAACTGTGTACATATATTTAAAAATGAGTTTCTTCACTTGCCCTTTGATTACACAGGAAGGATTGCGGAAGAAAGCTGCAAGGGCGGCTCAAGTATTCCCTAGACGTCTTTAGATATCACGCTTTTTATGACAAGCTTCAACAAGAATTAGTCAGATTCCAGGGTGAAATTGTCTAATATTAATGTGCAACTTGACTCTTTCTTAATGTCATTGTCATAAACAAAAACTGCTCACTGCCAAGTTTAAAAATTGAAAAGAAAAGCAAAGCAATGCACTCAATTGCTGGAGAAACACAATCATTCTCATCGTTCATCATCTGTAACACATTTACACATTTGAAGGCAGTTATATCTCTGGGCTGTTTTCTTTGCAACAATAAAGAAAAAAAATCTTCAAGTGTCAAGTATCTTTTTGAATCTTAACTGCTCCAAATGTGCTGAGTGAATAGTGACTACAATAGCTTTGAGAAGCATACATTCAAAACAACATACTGACTGAAACATTAAAAGTTACTTTAATCAACCAAGATTTTGTATTGTTGCATCTTGTCCCAATGAGCAAGCTTTCTCTCTTCTGTCTGTTTATGCCAGGAGTGGGGTCCCCAGTGCCCACACGAGTTCCTAGGGGGATACAGACTAGAGTCTGACTTCACTTGGACACCCACCGAGGCCATCGAGAAGAAAAATCGGCAACTGGACGCCATCAGCCGCATTTCCCAGTTTTCATGCTGGAAGCAAGAGCCCATGGCTATCGCAGACGCATTTGTGCAAAAGTAGACAGCACCCTCTCCAAGCACTGATTACGCGGGTCATACTTAATGTGAAACCTGTGGTTCACTGAAATTTTGAAATATGTTTTTGAGACTAGCTAAAATCCAGTGATTTTGAACTGCTAAGTGCATTCATTGTGCACAACCAGCTGCTAAGGTGCTGTATAAACACCTGAATGACAAATCAATAAATGTGCATTGTGCTTTGAGTTGCTCTTAGTTGATGACACTGGTTCAAATAATAACATATTCCAGGTGGCTTTCAAACACAACCTTTGAGACACTACTTTTTCATAAGTAGAGAATGCATTGCCAAAACAGACACACACACACACGGTTTAAGTTGCTCTGTTACCACTGCAAAGCATCTCCCAAACTTTGTGCAATGTCACAAGGAGAACATGTACAAACACAAAAATTTTGGTGTGACATTTTTGCGCTGCAATATATTGCTGAAAATGTACTAGTCATAACATTAGGTTCTATGTGCAATGGCAAATATGACGTCATAATCTAGCAGGGCAACATGGATCTTGGCCGCAGTGTCACTGTCGCGGAAGTTTTCAGGTCCCCTTAGGTCACTTTGGATGATGTCAAAGCTGCAAGGTGCAGCATATAGTGCTGGATCAGGCACATAAACTTCTATAATTGATATAAATTACCTTCCAAGCTGTATTCACTGTTCATATTTGGCAGGATGATACATGCATTTTCACTGAGAATCGATCCCACAGCCTACCTCTGCCGCAAAATTTTGTGTCGGTGCCCTTTTAACATGCCAGTGGTAAACAATGGTGCATCAGCTATCACAAAAATGGTAACTCAGAGATGAACTACAAGATGTCTTGTCCTACGCAATGACACTGTAATAACTTACTGCACTAGTCTACAATAAAAAATTACATACATAAGCTATATGCTCAAATTTATTATACCGGAATTGTTTTAATCAACTTTCCTGCGAGTGTGTCTAGGTTCTGTGAGTATTCATCCAGCGAAATTCATTGTTTTAGCAAGGTTGCCTAGATCACAAAAAAAGTAGATACTTTTATTGTGTTGATTAAAAATATGACAATATGTTAATATGTCGGTGCTTCTCAATACTGCATTTTGAAAAACAACTTAAAGGACACTTCAACTTTACTTTCAAGAATGGAATGCGATAAAGTTATTGGGGTTATTCGGCACACAACTGGCAAACATAGAATGCCATAAAATGCCTACAGTATCACCACAACTTTTGCCAAAAACAGGAAGTGGGTGGCAGCAATGCACCTGTGGCAATTTCGGTTTGATTCCGGCTCAAACCATGACTTTGCATTCTTTCCATCTATCCGGATTGCCCACTCACGATCAACACCACCAGTACCGATAGCAACACTGCATTCTGTAGGCCATGAGCTCTTTAACGCTGTCGTGCTAAAAAAATACACCAGAGCAATGGCCCAAAATGTTCCAGCTGTAGTGTTTATGCACACAACTGTGTTTTTTGTACTTTGTTTTAACAGTGCCTAGGTGCCTCTTAAGTGTTTGGACCTTGGTATACAACAAAGGACACTTCTTGTTTTGGTTCAGAAATACAATTTATTTTCGGCAGTCTTGGGCCCTTTTTTCCAGAGCCCAGCAAATGTTTTCAGGAAGAAAAAAGTAAAAGGAAGCAACAGCTTCAACAAAGCTGCATAAAGTCGGTCGCTTTAGCAAGCTGTCACGAGAATTCAAGACCGAAGTAAAGATCTTTCAAGGCATATTGTGACACTTGTCCTTTCACAAAAAGAACACAATTATAAAAAGAGTCATATGGCAGTAAATCAGGCCATACATGTTTAACTTAACAACATAAAATGTTCTGGGCTCAATAAGCATATATATATTTACTCCCACACTAAATCACATACTTTTGATGACTTTTAAATTAAGAAACAAAAAGAAAAATGTAGATAAAACATATCCCGAGAAAGGAAATTATGCTCTGCAAAGATACAAAATCAGATGTGGCATCTCAATGCTAAAAACTCACACGGCTGCAATCACCAAGTCGTGTTATATGTTTAATGATTTTTTTAGCGAGATTACAAAACTTAATTTGCAGCGACTTGTTGAAAGCATAGCTGCCACATTTTGTGAACAGAATGGTGATGCTAATTGCATAAAAGAAATGGGAATCGCTAGTCTGTGGGTGTGTATTCTCAGTAGAGGCACTATTCACAACTTACCTGTACTGAAGCAAATACTTAACAACAAATAATTCAATGCACAGAAATATAACAAAACATCCATGTGTGTGCTCTTCGGTATAGAAGCAATTGCAATAAAATGATGAATGTTTAGTCTATGGCATTAATGTTGCTAAAGCTTACTAAAAACTGCTTATTCCTAGCCCCAGACCTCAGCTCGCAATTGGTAACCAAAAACCTTCGAGCAGTAGGGGTATCTACATGCATTACAAGTATTCATTATGTTTCCTTTAAATTATGTGCCTCTTATTGCAATCTGATTGTCTTAAAACTCTTTCTTGTGCACACAACTGAACACAGTTTGCAGTGGACACAGCGACACAGTAGCTGCATTTTTCACTAAAGGTCTCAAAGGACAGCTGCAAGGTTTCCAGGAAGGTTTCCGAGAAAAGAGTTGTTAAGGTGTCCAGAATACTGGTCGTACTAAAAAAGGCTGCACGTAACGAAAATGCAAGATGCAGCAAAAATGGCTGAAGACACTAGAAGTATCTTTAGCATGACGGTACTAATAGTAGTGAGCTTTCATACTGTACAGGAGTTTACAAAGTGCTCTGTCTAGCAACTGAGATCAGTGCTACCAAAGTGGCAGGATGTCCGTTAAACTACGTGGCACTACACAACATGCCCTGGCCAGTGTCCGGAATACCAATGGTACGCCTGACTGTTTCCTGACACACACTCACTTGGTTTGCAGCAATGTGGAGCCCTCTTTACACTGCTGCTGAAAGGCTGCCCACATCAAACACTTACAAAACACTGTCACTATTATGAGCAAACATAAAACAGCGCTAAAATGCTAGAAAAAAACTAGAACCACCAAGTACCTATTCTCTGGTACACTAGCATATCTACTCCAACACATATATACTTCTACACCGACAAAACTTCGTAGTGTAAATGCGGCCTGAAAGAATAAACGTGCGAGTGCCCTTTCTCCGGGCTAGTCTTTTAGCGCTGTTTTCTGCTAATAACAACGAACCAACCACAACCAACCAATATGCCCACCTTTCAGCTGCTTCGGGTTCTCCAAGCTGGAGCATCATGTTCAGAATAAATCAGGTGCATGTGCGTTGAAGACATTCGACCAGTTAAGTGGAAGCTACACTGAACGAGTGCTCTAAAGCTGAATGCACCATATCAGACTAACACTACCAAATAACTCTCCATTACCTCTGGTGCCCTTGCAATGCAAGCTGCACTGTACACATGTAACTGAAGCCACCAGGAAAGCACCAGTCACAACATTTCGAAGGAGGCAAGTGCACCAGAGAATGGTGATAGTCTCTGTTGCATGAAAGAATACAACACTTTTCATAGTGCACATGCTCACCGTAACAGTGCGCCTTCTTTTTCAGTTGTCTCGCTGAGGTTTGAACAAACTATACTTGACTCTGTTCTGAAGTGCTACAACATTTATGGAGTGTAATACAATTTGTCTATTGATCAGCGCATTTTGCTTTGCACCACTCTGGCCTCGAAAGGCACTGCTCCTGCCACTCTCTTCAAGAGCACCTAAAGGCATCTTCAGTTTATCTATATGCTGGGACTACATAACGGTTACTATAGGAATGTATATGTATCTATATATGTGTATATATCTGTAATTATTTTTTTTTATTTTGTAACTGTGGGACTAGCAACAAACTGTACTAAACTAGCTCAGTTTATAAACATCAATTATGTATATGCTTGAGTTGGCCCTAGACTGATGAGCAGTATCTCACCACTCCACAAGAAGTGCTAACAAAAAAGGAAGAAAAGAGAGGGAAAGAAAATACTTAATGAGCATTATAAACCAGCTGACACCATTTGTACTGCTCACTCCCTGCACAGGCACAACAGTAAGTAGCTGCCTCTGAGCTTCGTGAAACATGCCATGATATTGCCTCTATTTAGATATGATGGACTGAGAAGATATGCTTGCAGTACTACTGATGATGAGTTCGAGTTTTGCAGCTGCCACGAAAAACATCAGCCTAGTGCTAGAGCTTCAGGATGACAAAAGAAATGCTCGAGCTTGAAATTTGAATCACATGTGGCTCTAGTGTTTTCTTCTTTTCTGATAGCTAAAACTTAAGATCGAAAAAAAAAAATGAGATGGCACAGAGGGTTTTTCCTTCGTAACTCATAAAGACAAGTAGAAAACGCTAAATATGGGCTGAACATTTAAGACAAAAAATAAAAATTACAAATAACTGAAGTCTATGACAGCCGAGCACTTTTGTCCTTTATAAAAGAGCCTGCTTTTAAAAATAATCAAACAACAATGAGCACCGAAAAGACTTCTCAACTTCCTTACACTATGACCTACCAACAACCTGAACACGTGAATAAATTAAACGCAGTAGCAGACGTCACAGGGAAAGGAATGAGGCAATCAAAGTTAGAGGTATGTGCCGTTGAATTTCTCCCTCAGAGCAATGTAAAATCTTGTCTGTGGCTGCGGCACAAACTGGTGACAGCAGTGTTCCTACTTCTGTAGAGAATACCTCAAATTTCCACTTTTGCTTCAGTGTAATGACAAATTTAGCACATGAATGAAAAACAATTTTACAAAAGCGCACTTGCACGATACAGGAGTCTCCAGAAGATGGTGCAGTCATCACTGGCTTCCTTTGGACAGCAGATATGGAAGGAATCGCAGGACGGGTCAACTTTCCCGAGTCAACTAGTGTGCAGCGAAAGCCTTGTTGAGCAGCTACTGTGTTTTGCAAGCGTCCCTCGCCTTCTTGCCTTTCTTGCCCTTTTCGAATGAGCTCGACCTCCGCTGGCCCTGGATTGGCATGTACGGCGGCACGGCCCCTTCGCCATCATCCAGGTCAACATAGCAGGCATTCGCTAACGCAGGACTGGACGTTGATCCACCTTCAAATTGAAAACGTACACCTCCCATTGTCGCTCGCATTCTATAAACAGGCAGCATGCGCAACCCTTTCTTGGGATCATAAGTGAAAACTACTGCGGCCATAATCATGAGGGGCAGTGAAAAAGTTCCTGCAGTGTTGGTTTAGCATACTAATGCTGATCAAGAGCGAAGCCGAGCAGACCATGTAATTTTCAGTAGACGGTGGTCTGCAGCAAGCAGTCACATAATGGGCGCTAAGGAAAGAATGAGATGGGATATTGAGTGTTAAGCTTGTGCGAGTATTTGAAGATTTGGAGTATTCGAACGAATAATAATGTATTCGAATTCGCTTTGGCTCGAAATGAACGAACAAATGCATGATAGCCAGTGTGTAACCTGCTTGTAAAGGTGGTTACACTGCAGTGGAAAGGTGCTATACTGTTAATACACCTTTACAAAAAATAACTGCACTGCCGCAAAGCCCCACTTTAAGGTTAATGAATAGTGTATCCACTGTTTTGTGTTTAAAGCTAGTTATACTAGCTTATATGCTCTAAGTATAGTTAATTTTGAAATGTAGCACATATCACATGTTAACACATGCACTCTACCGAAAGTCAAATCCAGCCACTATTCAGTGTTGCTTCTACTTTCTTTGAACCAAGAAGAATGACATTTGCTCATGCTTTGTCTCAAATAAAACATACACTAACACACACACAACTTGCCCACCGCAAGTTATCTTTTCACCAACATTTCTTTCTTCACATTTATATTACGATTCGGTCTTATAACTTCCCCTATACTTTTCTTGGCATTATGGTCCTTTAGATCTCATTAATATTGTGTTAAACACAGAAAAACGAGCCTTTAAGTACTTAAGTACACAAATCATTCCTTATATATATATATATATATATATATATATATATATATATATATATATGTATTGGTTTAGTAGGGTCCTGACAAATATACTACTCATTTTTCTGTATAATATGTGATACTAACTATTTGAATTCGATTTGAAATTATCTTGGCCAAATCATAATTAACTTAAAATTATTTAAAACCTAAAATTTACTACTCACACAAGCCTAGTATTGGCATAAGAGAATGTACTGGAAGTAGACAAGTTTACCTACTGAAAGAAGTTATTTTAGTTCTACAGTGAACTTAGGTATACTGTGATTACGATAAAAACAGTGAAGAGATGTAAGTTATCAGAATGGTGGTTCAGCATGCTAATGTTACAACTCATCATCCTCTAAGTAGGACCCTTAAATGCACCGACACTTGCTCAATCGCTCTTATTATTGTTGCAAGCAGTGATAGAAGGGTTCTCTCAAAATATGTCAGAGCTCAGCCATTGCATTCGTTCTAATACGCCAGGCCCCACATCACTTATAGTGCAGCGATCACTTGCTGAGAATAACATCTCGGTCGTCCTTCAACCTTTCACAATCTCTGAATTCCATCGACCTTTTGAATGCTCCTAGGTCTCATGGGGACGCGTGTTGCAACTGTGGAGGACATCAAGGCGACTGAGACGGATCCCGTAAGAAGCCTTCTAATACTGCTTGTAACAATGGCAGGAGCAAAGGTGTTTGCATGCTAAGGTCCTACTTTGAAGGTGATTAGGTTGTTAAATGCCGAACCACCATTCTGAGAACCTTTTGAACGTTCCTAGTATAGTGCTAACTGTTTGAGTAAACACAAGTTATCCTTTTCCTACACAACTCCCCGCAGACCTTATCATAGTAACAACTTCACCGCAGAACTGAAACAATTCCGTTCAAGCAAGCTCACTTACATGCCAGTGAATTTCCTTATGTCGATTATGCATCTCATCCTTTTCTTAGCACTCATTATGCTACTGCGTGTAGCTGACCACTAGCTACAATGGACAGCATGGCCTGCTCTTCTCCACTTCCTCCTCAACTAGACTATCATGTAGTACTCATATTTGCAGGCTTGTTTGTTCTAATTTATACAGCAGCATTGTTATCTTCTGGACATTAAAAAGAGCACTATCATAGAATTTCTCACTTGCCACTTTTGTTCGTTCAACTCCAAGCCTTAGAAAAATACCCCGAGACGTGTTGACTTCAATAATGTAATCACCACTAACTACCACTTAATATTTCCAGGTACATAATAAGCTGCACAATAATCACCAAGACATTCTCTTTAACCAGCCCTTAAAAGGGCCCTCCAAGACTTTTTCAGCATGGTCATTGAATGCTGCTGATCAGTTGTCAAGGTAGTTTCCCGAGAACACACGAACCAAACGTAAGAGAACAGCAAGCGGCCTGTGATTTCCAATCAATTCTCAAAGTCAGCCAAAAATCGTTCCCTTTTTTTTCCTACAAATGATGTCATACACCCAAATTTACGGCCACTGGCTGATTTGACTATCATGAGCTGAATAGTTGCAATAGCCGTCACAGATGGCAAGCACAAGCCAATGCATGCACTCGCGATCACACTCAATGTAAGCCGTGCATGTAGATAAAAAGAAAGAAAAAATGCCCAAGGTTATAACACCCGTGTAGCGGAACTTTTTTTCCTCCACCATCCATACATGCTTGGCTTCCAGTGCGCTCATTGGGGCAAGAGAGGAAGCAATTAAAGCATGTTACAAATTTTTGTATCTTCACTCGTACTTGACAGGTTTTAAGATTTCTTGCGGCAGTTAATTTGTCAGGCAATGAACTCCTTGACTTAAGACATTCGATGGTTACTTAAAAAAAGTGTTGCATGGCCCCTTTATGTTACACATGAAGCCCAGGGTACGTGAAAAGCGAAAGTGACTAGTATAACGAGAAACCCAATATTACAGCAGCACTGGAAATTTATCTAGCCAGATGAGACCCTCTGACTTCCACAAGCATCGCTTTTCAAATGGACAACCAGTTAAAACAGATAAAATCAAGTAGGACTTTAACTTATTCTAGATTGATGTCTACTCAGAAGGAAAGCAGGAGAAAAGCATTGCAATGGAAACCACTTTCTGAAATGCAACTGTAAGATATTATGAGCTGAACACTGGTAAAAAGAAACCAGTTGCATGCAAAACATTTCTGAAGTCACATGTTGCCAAACCGTCTATCAAATGAAGCCTTATGGGAAGGCATAGACTTATAGGAATGAAGTTTTATGAGAATGCATGCTGCCATGTTTGAGTTCACAGGTCAAACGTCTACTGTTCGCCTCAGCCAGCCTCCATTTACAGTGGCAGTTCATGGTAAGGAGAAGTAGTTGCTTTTTCGGCATTTGTTGTCAGCAATGACCGTGTGAATGGCACGAAAATTTGCACTATTCTTCAGAAGACACTTCAATGTGCCAAAAGCTTCCTTACATAAAAAGCTGAATTTCACTGCGTAGTGAAGTTGCTACAGAGAGAAGTAAACTGACGATCTTACTCGCATTGTCATACCGAGGTTTATACCCGTGCCGCACGGGCATAGAAAATGACGTTTGGTGGCGAAGGCCTTCAGTTCCTGAATGACATTTGTTTCGCCGGCGCTGCTACACGTCCAAAGACAATGAGATTTTACTTGATGATGACGATCGCAGCACCTTCCAAGTGAGCATTGGGGGAATAGCAATAAAAAAATAAACAAGCGTTTACAAGCTTCATACACATCATATAATCATTGAAAATAGAAATAAGCATATTACACTGCCCTAAGTTGTAGTTTCTTGCTTTGTCTTACGACGTTGCAGCTGACCGTAGCAACCTAAGCCAACACTAGTCAGATCCACAGCGTAATTAGAAAATGGCGCCTGTCGCATCGCACCTGTCGCATCTCTCAGAAGATGTTCGCAGAGTTCATTTTTCCACGGCAGCACTTGTGTGTTTCCGTGCAAAGCATCGCGCTCAAGAGCGAATAATTCTGGAGCAAAGACGAGTTAGTATGCATCAGCTTCAGTACGTTGAACTTAAATTAATTTTAAACCATTCCAACCTGATCTTCGTATAACGGTCAAAGCACTTTTTAAAAAGTTTAGTGCAAATAAAAGACGGGAAGTTTTATTTTTAGCTGAATATGATTTCTTTTATTTACTTTAAGGTAAATCGCACTTCGCGAGCTGTGTCGTCGAGAGTAGGCATTTCTCAGTCAACTGAGTTCTTGTGAAGGCATTTGGTGGCGAATGGCATTCGGACGAATGCCATTTCGTTCGCCCGTGTGTCACCGCGTGAATGGCAATAAATCTGAAGGCATTCGGGGGTAAATGCGATTTTCTCTGCCCGTGTGGCACGGGTATTACTGTTTTGGGAAAAATAGAGACAATTTACAAAAAAAAGTATTCAACCTGACAGTAGCCATGAAGCTACCAAAAACATAAATTTCTAAGAAGCAGAAACAAAACTAATGTACAATACAAGTACAAGCAAATTACATGCTATCAAGCTTATTGTCTTTTGAGAAAAAATAAACTCATGCTGATTGGTGTAGCATACTTCAGATCTTACAGGAGGCCAGCACTATAATGACGAGCAAGGAAAATAACTGCGCAATGTGTGTGCCTTCTGCTTTATCCGCGCAGTCTTACGAATTACAAACCTAAAGTCAGCTCATGTGACCAGAGTAGCCGACTGACATGGCTCTCAGCCAGCTCTTCAGAGTTTAGAACACGGGCCCACCTATGGTGCTAGTGGCACTTCGATGGTTCCGGGAGGGGTGATGGCATTGGCAGTACCCACAAGAGGGTCCAGCGTGTCGTGAGGAGAACGTGAGCTGCTGCGTCGTCCACTGCCATGACGCTCCAGAGACGGCTTTCGACGGCTGAAAGTGGGGTCTATTTCCGTCGCAATGTTCTTCACCCCACTTGGACCGACCAGGAAGGCTGCAGCACCAGCTGGCTCTCCATCGGCCTTGGCTGCCGATGAACTTCACACAGAAAACCGAATGATGGGAGCACACAATGACACCCTCTTCTTCAAGCTTCATCTTTGCAAAATGTTACCTTTACAAATATGCCCTGACTATATCAAGTCCTCACTCTGTTTATAATTGTGTTAGATACCTACAATTAAAACTGGATGAATTGATGCAGAGAGCACAACTGTAACCACCAACTAGAGTTAGGATTGGATGAACTGAGTAGAAAGCGAAATTATAAGAGCAGCCAGTTATCAAGGAAGGAAGCTGCATTAGAGACTACAGACGACCATAAACTTATACAACTTAAGAAGGAAGGCAAGGACCCGCCCAATCTACCGAAGCCATTTGCCAATTACCTCCACAGCTTAGAAATAGTGCAAGTCATGATGAAGAAGGTACAGTCATCAGCAGTCCAGCTCATGACGTCAGTCCAGGGGGTATGATCACTAGTGCAGCAATTATCTTTAAAGAAGAAATTCTGTTGTCTTTTAAAGTTGTACCCGGCTACAAAAGTCCAAATGAGACAAGCAAATAACACTTCCAAATGTTACTCTGGATGACACAGATCAGCAAGTATAACCTAGAAGCAAAATTTTAGGGAAAGCAAAAAAGCATGAAGCATGAATTAAAAAAAATTTCTTAGGTAAAAAGGCCAGTTACCGAGTGTTAAGACACAGCGACCAGTGTGCAAGCTTCAAGCAATGCGGATTCATTTGGGCCATTCAAGGGACATACAGTGTTGAGAACCACTGTAAACATCACACTTTGTTTTTAATCTCACTTTCAATTTCACAAGCACATATGATCCATGACCATTTAAAACTAAATACTATAGCTGGTCGTATCAGTGGACAGATGCATAGACTGTGTCTAATCTGGGACTTACTTTTCGAGGGGCTCTCCACTCAAATCGCCTGATGGCTCATGATGGCCACTAGAGTTTGGTTCTTCAGTAGGATTCTGTAAGGTAACCATATTTAAGCTGTTATTTACATAAACTGCCTTTACACAGAGCTACAAAGTGTTTGAGAACTAGACATTTGAACATAACCTGTGAGTACTAAAAGTTAATACAAACGTGAAAAGCAGGAGAATCCAATGAAAGAGTACTCTGGTAAATAAATTGCAAACCAGAGTTCTTCATTCTCTACATTTTTTTCGTGCTGCAAATTAAGGTGCAGAAAGCCTCCAAGGCTTTAAGTAAATGATGCAGTTTTGTACCGTCTCCAGGATTGGAGGCATTGCAAGTTTTCTGCAGCCTTACTTGGTGTTGCACTGCCTCTGTTATTGGCCCACCTTTTGACCAAGCAATGATGATGTGATGCCGTCATAGTGCCATTATGATGACTTAACAAATTTCGGCTATCTGTGATGTCATCATGTGATAACTCTTTGCATCAAATGTGCTAATGCAGCCACTGCCAGCGATCGATTTTCTTGTCGATGAGGCACGTAAGGCTTTTTTTCAATTTTGTAACTCTGATAGTGAGGCAATTTTATTTTTACTTAGAAAGGTATTGGAATATGCTCTAAGCTTTGACCAAATCGTGATGTCCTAGATAAATACCCATATGTATAATGAAGCAATGTGGTGATTACTTAGAAAAGTGTAGAAGGTCCCCTTTAATATACAACAGCATGAAAGTTCAAAGATGTTTGCAGTGCCAAAGGCATACAAATCAAAAGCCACTATCGTGAAACATCGCCACATTAAGTTTGGAGCATTCTTTTCTAATATGCAGCACCTTTTAATGGGAATGACAGTATACTAAGCAGCATATTTATACATTACCTTTCCCCCTCATAATATGTGCTTTCTTGTACAGTCTCCAGGGCTTAAAACTGTGAATTTTATATATTCCTGCAGGACATCAGGACCCTACGTATAGATAAGCTACAAAAGAGAACATCTCACACTAATTTCATGTTTCTAATCAACCTTGTTGCCCGCTGTGTGAGAAATTTTCAACCATGCAAGTGAGATGACTTATCTGCTGCTTGCCTGCACCGTATACGCACCATGTGCTGTTGCTGCTGTTGGAGCAGTGCCTTTTGCCGGGCCCTTTCGCGTGCCCTGCGCAGTCGTGCCTTCTCCTGGTCCTGCAGCATCTTGGCCAGCTCCCTGTCTTGAGCCTCCATAGCAATCTGGCGATCGTTTGCACTGGCACCCCGCCTCTGGACAAAGAATGACCGAGACAATACTCACATGTGGCACAGTCCTGAGAAGCACTCCTACTTTAGAATGTCGCAGACGAGCTTGACGAATACGTGTCTAGTCAGCAGCATACATAAGTACGTGAAATAGAAGATGACAGGGACAGAGAAAATGCAGTGTCAAAGATGAAAACAAATGTGTCTTTTAGCTCAGAATGTACACTGGAGCACAAGGGCAGCTTCAGTGTCCCTACTTAGCTGATTCTAACAAACACATGCAGCAACTGTTTCTATAGAAACTAATCTATTGCAAGTGAACGTGCAACCGTAAGCTCATTTCATAACATGTAACAAAAAATGTCCCTTGCGTCAGATTCTTAAATCATCCTTGTTTAGTCGCTACCAACTGTCTCACTCTAGTCGTTCCATTCTCGCCTATGACCATGAGGCAAGAATAATCAGCTGAAACTCCTTATCAGCACAGAGCGACCAGGAAATGTCAGAGAAATAGTGTACACTGATGGAGGCCCATGCAATGGTGCCACCTTGTGGCAAAATGCTTTTTTCTCCTTAGCGACAACACAATTTTTTTCCTAGCCATCAGCATGATGGTTGCTGTGAGGTCTTATGAACTCACTTCTAAAAGTGCAATTTCCATTAGTAAAAGTTGCTTGCTCTGTGCCCGCAAGCCACCAGTCTTCCAGCACCTGCTGTGGTGACACACGGTAGATGGTGTTGTAATGAAGCACTTAACTTGAACCTCGTGTACCGGCTCTTTCGCATACATGAAGCAGTACACATAGTCAGAGAATTTTGAACAGCTAGCGGCAATAGTGTCACTATTTGTTGTAGCCAAGAGTACATAGGCAGTGCGAGCATTACGCAGCAATTTAGAATGAAAAATGTACTTTTCTTTTCAGCAACAGAACAGCGGTGCCACTTGAAAGTGCTGCAGTGAAATGTAGCTTACTGCACTGCCACCAGTAAGTACCACACAGTCGCACTTTCTTCGGTTGCAACTGGTGAGCACTGTGCCTGTCATGCAACATTATACAGAAATTTACTTTAGTCAAAGTTCCACCCCAGCGAAATGTAATAGGAAAACTCAGCACTTTGGCTCAAGAAATAATCAGTGACTAGCCTCTATAGTAATAGAACATTGAGTAAAACTTGATAAATCTCTTCTTGTAAGTAATACACTGCAAGCTGTAGAGCAGTATACAACAATCTACTTGAAAATGTAAGTGAAGCCTTGCATTGCAGGGTCTATCCACCAGAGCATGCATGACAGCAAACAAACCTGACATGAAAACTTACCACTGGTGAATGAGACATCTGTAAAAATATGCATTATTGTACAAATCATGCACATAACCATATCTTCACTTATATGATGTCACTGAAAAGTGCAAGCCATTGTGACAAATCAAAACACCAGAAGCAATAATCTTGATATGTCTGACACTCGCCTTTCCAGCAAGGACTTGGTCAATGCACCAGTACCAACCCACACTTGTCATGCAGTGTCCTAATCCACGTGAACGAAAGAAAAATCATGGGAAAGGAATTGCTCACTTTTGTTTCCTGTTCCTGAAGAAGCCTTGCTAGCTCCTGTAATTTAATAAAAAAAGACTAATGTTGAGCTGCTGTAGAAGTATGTGTAGCCACACAATTTTCACAACAAAAAGGGGGAAAAAATTACATGCATTTCTCAAGTTGTCTCCATTAACAACTTACTAAGATATTCATAACAATGAATGTTACCGAAAAAGCACACAGAGCAAGCTCCTTCCAGGAAAGGCCATAACTAGCATGAGAACTGCAGGAAAAAAGTTGCTTGCTTTGTCCAGACGATGAAACATGAACAGCAATATACAGTGAGGTTTAGCTCAGCGATTGAGCTTTCTGGATGGAGCTTTTGAATGCACAAGACGTTAATAAATCGTTAACAAATATGAGAAAAAAGTCATATTGGAGTTGAAGTTAAACTACACCACTTAACAATCTGCCATAAAACATTCAAGCACACATGCAGCATCAGGAGTAGCAGGCACATGGTCACTGCACGACTTTTTTCTGTGACACAACAAACTTTCAATGATGTGGTCAATGAATGGCTAAGCACAGATGGTGAAATACAGAACATTTTCAGAAGTTAGTAGACATCGTAGAACCATTTGTAGAATATTAGAACACTGTATCTGTTGAAGGAAAATAAAGTCTACTAAGTAAGTCTATGATTGGCCTTTAGAACGTCATACTTTACTCCTTCATTTCTATAATGAACGAACAGCCATAGGGGCAAGCAGGTAAACATAACAAAGGAAAAATCAATGAAGTCATATCTATGTCGACTCCTGATAATTCAAAGTCAATTTTGCATTTCAATTTTGCTCCTCAAAGTCAATTTTGCTCCTCATAATCCTATCAATTTTGCATTTACGCATTTACATCTTTAGAAAAAAATGCTCAATAATTCAAAGTTAGAAGCCCATAACGTTAGTTAATAAGAAGTTATTTCCCAGCCAAAAGCCTCGAGACGTCCATAATTTTTCAATAAACTGGAGAAATTTTTATGTGCTAAGACCGCCAAACTGTTGGATCGCACTGTTGTCGCCATTGCAACTGACCGCAGTGCCACGGTTCATGAAGCAGCCATCTTGTTTAGTCAACGCTGAAGAATCGCATTGATCGCATTGTCTAACTAGGTAGGTCTTTCATTGTGATGTGTCAAGTACTTCAGCCCCACGCTGGGTTGAAATCTGGTGTAAGTTAGAACAGTGCGACTGGACTCTGACGGAAAAGAACGCACAAACACACACAGTACTGTACGTGAGTTTGCATGTTCTGCTCCGTCCGCAACCAGTTGCACTGTTCAAACCTAACATGATAAACCAACTAGCCCGCCAACCCACAGTGAGTTGATTACGCATGTGTTTTCACAGCTGGTTTTGAGTATTGTGGTGGCGACGTTTGATAAAGGCAGCTTGCGGCCCCTACTAAACGCTTGACCTGGAGACGAGAGTCAAAAATCTTGAAAGAAGTTGACTAGAGAGATGAACTCGGCGACGGTAGTCTTGGGGCTGCTTTTAACGACGTCTGTATTGAAAAATTCGTTGCCATGGACAGCAACGTCGATACATGCAGTCCACTAACAAACAGAAAAATTGTGTACATGGACTACTAATGTTGGTGCTGGTCATGCTCTTGCACTGTGGCTTTTATGTTTTGTTGAAGAGGACAATGCTGAAGAATCACTTCAACGTGTGTAGTTATTGGAAAAGTTGCTAGCCGCAGCCAGGTTTTACAAGAGAATATGGCAGACTATTTTCTTAGAGAACTGCCAGGTTTGAAGCAATAAAAAGGCAGTCTCTGTGTATTTTGCTTAATTGTAAGTTTGTTTATTTCAAATTTTTTTGCAGTTCCTGTGAAGTTCCTACTGATGGTAGTCGACTGTAATACATACCGCGTCCTGTTCCTCTTGGAACTTTCTTAGCTCTTCCCCACTGAGTCCAGGAGGTGGCTGCAGACAGAAGTCTGAAAAGTCCTCATCCCTGCTCTCACTGTCGTTAAAAAAGGCACCGGAGGTATCCTCGCCAATGGAAAGCCTCTTCAGCACTGAAGGTAGTGCATCATCTGCAGAGATGGTTCAAGGAACACTGGTTGAACAATGCTGCGCTAGAAGGCAAAAAGAAAATTTTAGCTTGTGCCGAGATTTCACAAAAGTTGACTCCTTGTCAGATGCTTGTTGTACAATACTACTTGTAAATGCGAGACTTGCTATGTCAAAGCATGCTGCGGTAAAAATAAAACTGCATATACATTCAAAGAGAAACTATGAACAAGAGTATCTCTGCCTTTGATTCAGATCAAGTGCTTCCTACAACACATAAAAGTCGCCCCCACTGCCCTCAAGAAAAAAAGAAAGAAAAGGAGCAGTTAAGGAAAAAAGCTAAGCACAGAGAACGAATAAAAAAGGCACGAGAAATACTTACATGCCCATAATAGTGTCTTCAGTGAGAAAATGTCTGTCGACAATCAGCCAAATGCAATTCATATTTAGTGATACAAAGACTAATGAATCCTACTCGGTTGCTCATTGGTATAACAATGCTCGAGTTAGTTAATGACACCTCATTATTGTGCAAGAACATAAGGACAGGGATGCAAATATGGAAAAGCAAGAATGACAGAGTGAAACTTGAAGCATGTAATAAGTGTTACTTAATAAAATGCTAGTAGTTATTTGCGACTTTTGATATTTCACCTTTTATTTTCTGAGAACATGGAATGACTCATGTCTCAATTTTGTAAAAAGTCATAATTTTCGGCTTTGCCAAAAATGCAAGAACATTCATGTATTTGTTGGATACGTCTCTGCGCACTTGGCAATACGAAAATGGTCAGAACTAGTCTAGAGGCCTCGACTATGGCATTTTTCATAGCCATGCTATCCCTGTGGCAAGTCAAAACCAAGTTAATCAGTCAATAACCAACCTCTGCGCCTCCGTTCTATCCTGTCCAGCTTCTTGGGCAGCTCTCTTTTCTGTAACTCCGCGGCAAGTCTCTGCAGCACAGTGAAAAAGGAAATATTTATAAGAAAATGCAGAAACGAAGTTGTGCGACAGTGATTTCTTGAGCACTACAACATCAGAACATGAAAAGAAAGAGCAGCGCCGGCTACCAACTGTTTTTTGTGCCTCAGTCATCTGTACCTAAGCCAATTAAGCTTCGACTCACCCAAAAAGAAGTCCTTTTGTAAAATCAGCACATTTTTGAAGCTGCATAAGCTGCTAAACATGCTTTACCATACTTGCTGCAGAAATTTTATTTCTCCCATAAGCAGATATGGTTTTTATTTTTTTTATTAATTATACCTTCAGGGCCTGAAGGCATTACAAAGGGGAGTGGGTAATACACAAATACAGTGAGCTAAGTAAAGGCAATATAAAGCACAAAACATTTCCCAATTATACAATGTTAGATAGGTAATAAAGCAAATAAGTATAGTGAACAGTAATTAGAGACAGGTAAGTTAAAAAAATCCTAATACACAATGTTAAGCTTAGGTGTTTTTGAACAATACTTGGTTTTTTATACAGGCAATGGATCCGGGAAGGTGGTTTCAGTCTGAGGCTGTCCGCGGGAAAAATGACTGTGAGAAGGGGTTAGTCCTTGCATGGGGTATCCTGATTTTATTTGAGAGGTCTAAACGAACAGAAATGTAATGAGGCACTTGAATGAAATTCACTGCGTTGTTCAGGGTGATAGAATATTTTATGGAAAAGACACAGTCGAAGAACTTTACGACGAGACGCTAGAGATGGTAGGTTAAGCCTCAATTTCATGCGTGTGACACTGGAGGTACGGTTATAATTGAATAGTATGTAACGGGCCGCATTATTCTGAACTAATTCAACTTTTTGCATCAGCTTGACTTGACTTGAATCCCAGAGTGATGCCGCATATTCAAGCTTCGGACGAACCAATGTCTTGTAAAGTAGTAGTTTAGTGAAGAAGGTGCTTTTGAAAAATTACGTCGAAGGTATCCTAATGCCCGGTTAGCGTTGTTGACGACATAATCGTGTTAGTGTTCCAGGTAAGGTCAGCTGAAAGGTGAACACCTAGGTATTTATAACATGAAACATTTTCCAGAAGGGAGTTATTAACAGAGTAAGAAGGTAGCTCTTGAGGAGTTTGGGACACATGCATATACTTGCACTTGTTAGTGTTAAGCTCCATGCACTAGATTTTACACCAAGATATTACAGTGTTTAGATCTGCTTGTAATGTTATGACGTCGTTGTCAGAGATTATTTGACGATAAATTACACAATCATTGGCGAACAAATTGATATGGGAAGAAACGCAAAATGACAAATTGTTAATATAAATTAGTAAATTAGTAACAGGAGAGGATCCAATACCGAGCCCTGAGGCACAGCTGAGTGAATGCTGCTGGGCTCGGAGTCATAATTGTTAGCTGAGATGAACTGGGAGCGGTAAGTAAGGAACACTTCTAGCCATGTTAGTAGCTCGTCATCTAGGTTAAGCAAGCGCAGTTTATGTAAGAGTAATTTGTTAGAAACTTTATTGAAAGGTTTAGAAAATTCTAAAAAAATACAATCAGAAACGAAGTAGTTGTCGAGACTGAGGTTAAGCTTATGTGTAAAGGAAATTAGCTCTGTTTCACATGAGTAGGTCTTTCAAAAGCCATGCTGCGATTTAGAGAAAAAGGAATTGGACTACAGGAATTTGCTGAGATTAAAAAAGAGGATGTGCTCGAGAATTTTACATGGAATGCTGGTTAGTGAAATAGGCTTGTAACTGAGCGGGGAATGTTTGTTACCGGACTTACGTAAGAGGACCACCTTCCCCATTTTGAATTGAGCAGGAAGGACACTTTCATTGAGGGTTTGCTGGAAAATTTTCGTTAATATAATTGAGGAATAGGTACATGTGTTAGTTAAAAATTTTGGGCATATTTCGTCACAACCTGGAGCAGAGAAAAGTTTCAGTGATTTTACAAGTTTCTCTACGCCACCCACGTCGATAGTGATAGGCGCCATTGCAACATAGTCGTAGTAGGGGGTGGCAGGTAAGGGAGGGTTAGTGTTCCGGCAAAAGTTGCTTGTAAACGCGGCATTAAGAGCAGCTGCGCACATATGAGTAGGAATATAGCTGTTCCAACAGTGTTGATTAGTGTTAAGTGCTCCGTACTACTCGGATTGATAGTACGCCAAAACTTTTTCGTGTCCGTTGTTAACAGGCGGGGCTATGGTGGGTTGTTGGGCAAAGTCCATGTAGGGCGTGTGACAATGCATGATATTTAGGACAAACGTGCTTGAAAACGACCTGTAGCAGAACGTGATATAGAACCCTTTCGAGGTTCTCAATAAGACGGGTATTGAAGGCGCCATCGAATGACTGGATTAAAGGAGTTTATTACCTCATAGGGCGACAACCGCAAAGGTTTTAGAATTCATCGAGTACGAACGGAGTAAACAGAGATTTGTCGCACGCCGTAATTATTTTATCTCTCCTGTTGTCTCGACGAGTGTGGTGGAAGCTAAGCAAACGGGGACTCCATCGAGAAAAGGATTTACCTTGAGCACTTTCTCCCCTCTTCAAAAGCGCGCCTTAATTTCAGTGTGATCCCAAGCACACACGCATGTACGAGCAGTCATGGTAAGAATATAGCTTACGATGCCCAAGTCAATTAATGGCTGTGAATTTAGGTTGTATGGCATGGCTATTGGGGGGTAATGGCATCATTCGCAGAAAGAACAGAGAATGACTTCTACCTGACAGAGAAATAACAGTAAATTCCAGGCCACACACTGCACAATAATGTTTGGCCCGCGTGTTGTCAAAAGCCTTGACCACCGATTGGCAGTGTTTTCTTTTTTCTGACCATGTTGAAAAAAAATGTTGCGGGGACCCTTTAAGCTGAATGTCAGGAGAGACATTCAAAACAAGGTATCACCTGGTCTTCCTCCTGTGCAGCCGCATGTAAGGCAGCCTCCCTCTGCAGCTGTTGTTGCAACTCCAGAGCAACCTTCGCATCGTGTTCTTCTCTGAAAGAGAAAATAAAAATGAGACATGACTAAAAGGTGAACATTCAAGGAAATAACCGTATAGAGTAGTACTTGTATATTAGCACAGATGTTGAAGTATGTGTTACAATCTTGGCATATATAACAAACAAGAAGAAATGGGAACCAGTCACTTTGGGGCCCTCCCTCTTTTGTATTCTGCAAGAATTCAATAAATTCACGGCCTGGCTGGTACAGGTGAAAAATTAAAACAAATGAAAGCACCACTGTTGGCTATAATGACCTCACCTTTCTAAAAAGGAGCTGGCCCAATCTTTTGTTTTCACGTTAACATTCAGTCGTCAATACATGAGAAATGAGCCCTATTTGCCATGTGAGTAAGAATGTGACACAACAAATGTATGCTGTGTAATGTAAATATGTGCGAAAACATTTTCACACAGACTTGGAGGAGCAAGTTTTCAAGCTTCACATAATGAAAACACTGGCATAGATAAAAACGTTTGTCGTTTCATTGGCAAAACTAACTCATGCACGGTTACACGGCATAGCCTCACTAACTTGTCAGAACACATGCAAAAAAAAAAGTATTCATCAAAATGATGACAATTAATTTTATGATACAGGCAATTAGGTCCAATGAGTTATCTACTAATAAATGTTAAAACTAGCATACCTGGAATGGCCGGAAGACGAAAATGAGTACATAAATACTTTGAGACAACAGCATAACATATGAAACTGCAGAGTATTGCACACACATGCTATGAAATTCTCCTATAATATTTCAATGACACAAATATGAGGACAATGACCTTGTCTGCTGACGCAGTAATGTTAGACTTAAGAACAAGTTCGGTTGCAATGATTGCACACACACGTTTGCTGATCGCGCTTTCCCACAAAAGCAGTAGGATTAGCCGGGAAACATGCTCTTCAGCACAGTGTGAAGACGAACGCATACCCTGACAAGGAGTTTTCACCGCACGGCACTCACGCGCTTTGTAAGTCAGCTTCTCCGCGGGACACGAATTAAGCCACAGCGTGGCAGCTTAAGCTAGTTGGTATGGCATGACGATAGTTATAGCGTGAGAACGAAACGGCGACACAGAGACAAGGACACGAAGGACACGAGCCCTTCGTGTCCTTCTTGTCTCTGTGTCGCCGTTTTGTTCTCGCGCTATAACTATCGTCATGCCAGAGATAGCGTTGGTGTTCACGCGGTGGCGCTACCTGACGGCGAGAAAGCCGTATAGACAAAGCATGGATACGCGCGACAATTAGGAACGCCTTTCTCTCGGACATTGGCAACTTGGATGCGGGCCGCATTCGGTCGACTTTATCGCGCACGCGGTGAGGAGCACACGGGAGGCGATCCTGCCAGGGCCCGTAGCCAGAAATATTTTTCACGGGGGGAGGAAGGGATCAATCGCCCTTCATGTATGTTCGTGAGCGTGTGTATTTGTGCGAGCATACATACACTTGCAAAATTGAAAAAAAAAAAATTCAGGGTAAGAGTTCGAACCCCTTCTCCATCCCCGATCGTTCAAGGTCTAGCTGATTTAGGCGTTCGAACGTGCAGGGAGAAAAAAAAAATTCAGAAGTGAGCATCACGAAACAATATTGAGGTCGTATCAAATTTAAAGGCCTTGTTGACGTGATAGGCAAGCTCTATACTGCTGGTCGGCTCGCTTTGGTAGCGTGGGCATAATCCTACCCACGAGGCATCGCGCAATGGGCCCCAGAGGGCAGGACGGGTGGGTGGCGTGAGTGGTATACGGTGAACTAGAATTGGAAGAGAGTGGCTGGGTGAGGTCTGCGGGCGTTCTTTCTCTCTTTCTTTCTTTCTTTCTTTTTTTTCGTCTACACGGTAACTGAAATTACTGCGGAAAATTTCCTTTCATAATCTTGCGCTGCTGCATCCTCTCGGGCATTCGTGACCACGTGCATTTCGCTCTAACCTGTCGAGAAGCTCCCCCCTTTTGTTTTTCTGTCAACGCAGATGGTGCGCTTGCCCTGTCAGTTCACCAGAGGCTGAATGCTCACCAGAGTTCACCAGAGGTTGAATGTGCGATTGGCCGTCTGCTTGCCGGCCGTGCACGTCCAACGGGACTGGAGCGCTTATAACCATCGCCAATTATCTGCTCCGATTTGCATAGACGCACGTGAATGCCAAGCTCTCCACTCCGGCTTTCCGCTTTTCCAAGAATGGTTTGATGCCAAGGAAGCTCGTCGAAGCGATTGAACAGGAACACCATGTACGATATAGCCTGGGTCAAGGGGTACATGCGTACTACCTACTGCGGTCACGTTTACAACATCGTGCGTCGATGTATGCAAATACACCGGCTTGACGGAGCCTCAAGGGTAACCATGCTGAAGGAGTCTGAGCAACCGTTTGGCGACAGTAATTCCGTGCTCAAGCACCCTTCGCGAGAAAGAAAAAGAAAGCGCACGAGGTTACAGAAGCGTTGCTAGACGCCATCTATTCGAACCACGCCGTGATCCGAACTTATCGCGACTGGCGTATCGACGTATACCTGCGTTTTTGCGAGCACCGACAGTTCGAGTTACACATATTGGAAGGGGAGTACAATTTTCATTAAACCGGGAATGAATAGCTTTGCTGCATGAACCCACACCAAGAGGGGCTCAACTCACTGCTGCCTCAGCATCTCCTCGTAGGTACGGCGGATGAATTCAGCCTCTTCTTCCTCTGTGCGCTGCACCGTCTTTGCCACAGGAAGATCGGCTCGCAGGAGCTGGTTGTTTGTCCTGTTCAGGTTGTACCGCTGGTTGACTGCAGAGTAAGTGAACGCCAAAACACGAACGCTTGTTTTGTTTTGTTTTGTTTTATTTCCCTGGGAAGTTGGCTCATACCCACTCAGGGGGATTGGCCAAGAAAGTGTAGTGCAGTTTTTTTGTGATCATTTTAACTATGTGTAATGAATTGGTATTATAATAAGACTAATGTAAAAATAAAAACAACCTAAAAAGAGCAAACGAAAAAAAAATCAAGTTGAGCAATTTTGAGATTTGAGGTGTTATGATTACCACTCAGCTGCGTTTACTTCACTCTGCCCTGGGGAGTAATAAATAATTTTTTTTTGATTGAAGATCACAAAGGTATACGCTTGGTTGCCTGAATATAATCGCAAACGGCATTGAAAGCATCCCTGTGGCAATGTCCCAAAGCTGAGGCGCCAAAGCTTAGCGCCGTTTCCGCCGTCAATCTAAGGCCTATTTTCCGAAATGGCATAACTAGTAACCTTTTTCTAAGTATCTCGTAGCAGCGACAATACAAAAAATAATGATCTAGTGATTCGATTTTTCCGCAGAATGCGCAGAGGGGTGATGTTGTCTGACCAGCTCTGTGTAGATACAGGTTTAGAGGGGGGACACGACATCGAAATTTAGTAATTAAGACTTCGAGCTTTCTGGACTGACTCCAGTGGGGTTGCCATGGAAACATGAGGTGGTTATAGTCTGTCCGTGTAGTTACTTTTTCTATCGTATCAGTGGAGATTGCTGATTTTCGATATCTTATTGCCGTGATATATTCAACATCTGGCAGTATGGACAAAACTGGCCCATCAAGTGCGGCTCGTGCTAAGGAATCGGCCAATTCATTTAATCTTAATCCACAGTGTCCCGGAACCCATAGTAATCTCAAGAGTCTCAACGCTTGTTTACTTCATTTGCTTTGTTTGTTTTTATAAATGGGTCATACCCACTACCGGCAAATCGAATAAAATAAGGTAAAAAAAAGCACATCGCGTATGCCCACTCCTGCCTTAATTTAAAGAACATAATGTGCGGAAGGAAATGGAAACCCAAACAAAAGCTCGCAAGTCAAAACGGGAAGGTGTGAGGATCGACATACTCTCTTGCGACTGCAGCCGGTACGCCAGGACGCCATCTTCTCGGACGAGCCATTCTTTGCACACTGTAAACAGAGATCAAGAGCAGTCTATAAGAAACGGTAACGGAGTCAGGAATTTCATTTCACACCATAAGCGCCCTGTGTCGAACAGCAATCACTGTAAACAGTGAAGACACCCCCTTCGTTCATGCACCTTCCAAAATTAAACAGAAAACGGAACAGTTGCAGCCACGCAGGCCGGCATTGTTCTCAAAAGCAATCTGGCAATCACTGCCTCCAGAGACATGGTTACGTCGAGAGGGCAGGGCGAACGAGCGTGTCGACATCTCCGGGGTGGCACGGATGACCTCCAGAATAAGACCCTATAGAAGCCAGCCTCGGAGTCTTGCGTGCGCCGCTCTCGTTCGCGACGAATTTCGATACGCATCTCGCGGTCCCGCTCAGCCATCAAGAATGGCGGCTGTTCGTGGTACATGCGCCCTTCGCCAGAAAAAGCGCCCCACACCGCCTGAGAGAGCAATGACCGAAAGCGCCTCGCGCAGACCTGGCCAGACGCATGCACGCAATGCACACAGACGTCATGATGACGTCGCATACCGCCCATGAAGTAACACGACGTCATCAGATGACATCGTTGCTTCGTCAGACGGGAACCGATCTTGTAGTAGGCAGTCCACGACCATGTCAGGTGCAGAAACCGTGCCATGCCTCCGATTCTGTGTAGGCAGTGCAAAAATAAGTCGCCGAGTGCAGAAAGCTTTCCGAGGGGGGAAGGTGTACAGGGTGATCAGCGCATCCACCGGGAAGAAAAAAGATTGCGTTCACACTATGAAGTTATTTTAGGAGGGGGTCGACCCTGAGGGTTCTTCAATGTATATACTGGTCAGCCAACGCCAGACAGCCAGCCAAACGAAGTCACCGAGCGTTTCAACAACGTCTATGGTGAATATAAGCAAACAGCGCGAATAAAACGAGGACTGAAAGACTCGTACATTGTCTCAATTGATTTGTTTGCTTAGATTCGCCATCAACCAATACCATCTAGCCCAGTTCTCAATCGTTCCAACCTCGTGGCTCTATGATCAGCAGATCGTATAGACGACCTCCTCTATTAACTTGAGTGCGACAGCGGAGTGATCATCGACGGAAGTTTGCACTTCTATAAGTGCTATACCAGCAATGTAGATTGCATAGCTTGAACACTCGGCATTGATCTGCCTGCCTGGGGCTTTCAGAAAAGCCTAACCAAACTTTATTTTAATACCTAACGTTATGGATCCCGACTGGCTTCTTTGGCGTTAGACAAACGGGATTTCAAACGCAGATCCTGAGGGCAAAATAAAGGCGGGAAGTGTACGTCGAATGATTGATGATAGCCACGGCATCTGTTGGATGTGCTTCCATCTAAAAGGAGCCGCCGTTGGTGGTTTTCTTTCTTCAAAAAAGGGAAAAAAAAGAAAACAGCGGGGCCACTCCGGTATTGATTAAAAAAAAAAAGGTTCCTAGAATACCACAGCATTGCGTTCTCTCGAAGGCCATTCATGAGTTGAATTCTCTCAGGAAGGTTCCGCCGATATACGCCACGGAAGGTTTGGTGCAGGAAAGTTTGTACAATGCTCCACGTCTTTTCTGCAAAGATGAGCGGGAGGAGAAAGAAATAAGAAAAACCCCAGGTGACAGCTGCCAATGTTAAGCGCGTATACGCAGACCATGCGGCAATTCCCCTTTTGAAGTGATGTTTCGAATAGCGCTGCAGCGCGTTGTGCAAAGACGAAGGCCGTACAAATTCGTCCAATTAAGCATAGTCCTTCAACGTCTTGAGGGACTGTGGTCCAAGTGAAAAACATTAACCGGAAAATGAATGTAACTTTTGTAACGAACAAAGTCATGAACGAAATCGACCTTTCACTTTGTTTCCGCGTTCGGACGGCTGCGTCCGTCCGTAGCTACAGGATGGTTGTCACCATAGCTGACAATCTCCTCAAGCATACGCGTTCTCGGCTGATGATTATGACAGTAACGCTAAAAAGGCTTCTTTCCGTGCTAGCGATATGTAGCAACAGCTCGTTGGACTACTATCTAAGAGGGTAGGTTACCACATTGACCATCGCAGAACCCTGAACACAGTCCCGAGACGAAAACGCTGCATGTCGGGCAACAAAGCCGTGAACAAGTCACCAAATGACACAAACGTAAACAGTGGGTGATCGTGGCCGGCTATACGCGACTCTATCGATCACACGGAGAAAGAAAGGTATAGTATACGACTGGCCAAACAGTTCCCAGGAAGACTAGTGCGCGAAAAGCAATAATAACAAAAAAATACGCACCAACTACGCTGCAAAGCGCGCACATCAGATCTAAACACGAAAAAGCGCATTCCCGGTTGGCATGAATTACTGATAGGCGCAGTTCTGAAGCACATAGAAAACCCGTATAGCCCAGACCAGTGCGCGACGGTCCGCTTGGCAACAAGGCCGCCTCGGGCGACCGACGCGGGGCACGCGTGCGCGGATAGAAAACAGCTCCACGGACGTGCATCGGACACGCGCCTTGCATCGGCACGCTAACTGCACAGAGTCACCGCACGTTACCCGGGTCACAGATCTCAGACGCACAGAGTCTGATGGTAGATGGCGACGCTATAGCATCGCACAGCAGTTAACGTAATCTGTGGTCGAATACACTTAAAACGATACCGTTTATAACGATATATCGGATATAACGATGAACAGCGATGGTACCGTCACCTATGTCTGCTTTCTAAGCTGAAATACACGGCTCATTTTCTAAGCTAGAATAAACCGCCTATTTCGATGCTCCAACGTCGCGACATCGGATATAGCGATTGAATCTAGCTAAAGCGCGCACCGAAAATGAATTTCCGCGCTGCAAAACTGCTTCAGGCGGGCGGGAGTCGTTCGACGACGTCGCGAAAAGAAAGTAAGCGATAAGGAAGCGCGCCACCAGGAGATGCCTGCGAAGTGCCCCACGGCGAAGGGGTGCCGGAGTTGTGGTCTGCGCTTAGCAAAGACGCATCGGGTCTGCATGGTTGACTTTGTACATGCATGTATCACCATCACCATCATCATCACCATCCTGACTACGCCCGCCGCAGGACAAAGGCATCTCCCATGTTCCGCCAGTTAACTCGGTCCTGTGCTTGCTGCTGCCAATTTATACCCGCAAACTTATTAATCTCATCTGCCCACCTAATCTTTTGTCTCCCCCTAACCCACTTGCCTTCTCTGGGAATCCAGTTAGTTACCCTTGATGACCAGCGGTTATCCCGTCTACGCGCTACATGCCCGGCCCATGTGGCCCATGGCCCAGTTTTACGATGTTGTAAAAACGTCCGAGTGCCCCAGTGATGAGATCATTGCGCATATACCTGCAGCAGACAGTGATGAGAGCGACGACTCTGACGACGTGGTTGAGCATCATCATACATAGAGGCTCAACGGATAATACAGTCCTTCCAGGAACTTCGTTTTCGCCAAAGACCTTCCGCTCAGCTACGCGGCGCACACCTATAGATTCCATTGAGAACGTTGCGCGCCAGCCTCGCCTGAAGCAATCAACGCTGACTGTCTGCAAAAGGTACATAGTAGCACCGTCTTACTTGCATGCAAAATGCCTTGGCCTTTTTTTGTCGTCTTTTTTTTTCTCGATCCGCTTATAACCATAACCGGGGATAACGATGGGATTTTCTTGGAGCTTGGATATGGTTATAAGTGTTTTGCACGTCTAATGCGACTGCATACCTACGACGTGTAAGGCGATTCAGGTGATCCGCTCATGATTCCCTGTTGATGCATGCTAGCGAGAAGTGTATGTTAAAATATACGATGTGTATATATCTTGCGTACACGGAAAATTCGCATACCTTTTAGTGGAAATCAATACCTAAGCTTAAGCTAAGAGATTGAAGAAAGGACGTCATATACAGCGAAATAAGATTACATATATTTTTTTTCTTTTTTTTTTTCTTTTTTTCGAAAATTTCAACACGGCTGTACGTTTACAGCGCTCGTATCACAACCTTGGGGGGGACCTTGAAAGTCAAGCGCGAAATAGACCTCCATGGGCAGGTGACGCAGAGGAAAAGGACAGTTAACCAGCCGTTGGTCAGTTGGAGCGACGAAATTAAGAAATCTGGAGACATAAAATGGAATAAGCTCGCACAGTACACGCCAAATTGGACAACGTTATTGGATGCAATTGTTTTGCAGTGGACTCGTGAGGCCGGAACAGACCGAGTATTGATAGCTTGCACGAGACGTTACGGACGCACGACAGAGCTAAAAAAATGAGGGCTTAGATGACGTCAAGGCAGTGTAATCATTCGGCTATTAACCTGCTGCAGTGTGGCAATGACGTCGCTGGAACGTTATTGGGCCGCTGTGCATGAAAAAAACGAAGGAACTAACACTCGATGTGAACTGATAACACGAACGTGACGTCACAAAGTTCCCGCATCACCATGTTAGTGCTCCAACCTGGCTGTTTCGGTGACGTCAGTGCAAGCCATCTATATTCATGAAAGCGCATAGGTCGCCCCACCGCGGTGGTCTGTCTAGTGGCTTAAGGTACTTGGCAGCTGACCCGCAGGTCGCGGTATCGAATCCCGGCTGCGGCGGCTGCATTTCCGATGGAGGCGGAAATGTTGTAGGCCCGTGTGCTCAGATTCGGATGTACGTTAAAGAACCCCAGGTGGTCGAAATTTCCGGAACCCTCCACTAAGGCGCCTCTCATAATCATATTGCAGAATCATAGTATGAATATGGACCCCAGTGCGACACCGTGGACTTTCTCAAAAACTTCTTAGCCGATACTTCGGGCCTTACAAAGTACTTCATCGTGTAAGCGATGTAACGTACCAAGTCAGATCCGCTGTACACGGAAGCTCAAAACGCCGCAACCCTACAGAGGTTGTACATGTAGTCCGGATGAAGCCTTACTATGAAAGATCATCGGAAACCCAGATATATACGCCTACAAGGAATCTATTCATTGCCTGACGCATCGGGACGATGCGTATGAGGAGGGGGACTATGCCGCGA